ATGGCGGAGCGCCGCCATCCCGCTATTCCACGACCTGATCTGGAGGTTGTGGGGCTGGGGGGGGGGGAGAAGCAGGCTTGCTTCTCCCACCCCCAGCCTCCAGATCAGGTCGGGGAATAGCGGGATGGCGGCGCTTCGCCATCCCCCTATCCCCCGAGCTTGTGGGGCTGGGGGGGGAGAAGCAGGCTTGCTTCTCCCCCCGCCAGCCTCCAGATCAGGTCGGGGAATAGCGGGGTGGCGGCTCTGCGCCTCCCCGCTGTCCCCAGCTTTTGGGTGCAGGCTGCTGCCCGCAAGCCTTGCGAGCCCGCGGGACATCCCGCCGGGCTTGCAAGACTTGGGATAGCTTCCTGAAGCCTGGAGAGCGGGAGGGGTCGGTGCGCACGGACCCCTCTCGCTCTCCAGGCTTCAGCAAAAGCCTGCATTCGCACCATAGGACGCACACACATTTCCCCTTCATTTTTGGAGGGGAAAAAGTGCGTCCTATAGTGCGAAAAATACGGTACACAGTCACTGCTATTGCAGATTCACGTAAATAAACACTTTCGTTCAAGGGCAGACTATTGGATCTGGGTATGTAACTGTCCCAAGTTATCTTGCATATTCCAGCCAGTTGCACCTTACCAGGATCAACTCCCTCCATTCTGGATTTGGTAATGACAACGCAACCGATTACAGACTATCATTGTAGGTTATTTGCACCTCGTTTATGTGGATTTTAAGCATCTTCCTAGAAAGTGACTTGTTGGGAGAGACTGGGACTGGCAGTACTGAATTCCACCATCAGTAACCATGCTGTTATTTCTTACAACCATGGATAGCAAGCAAGAAGATAATCACCTCCTTTCTCCCACTTTGTAGAAGGCTGTTTATTTCCTACTGAATCTGGGCAGAGCAGCATTCTGAGGCCCGTTTGCAAAGAGAATAAATCCCTCCTACTCCTCATTTGAAACAAGAGCTCTTTCTAGAAATGCTTTCCCACACCGGATTTCACATGATTAAATACTTAAAAGCCTGGGTGTTCATGCAGAGCTGGAGCTGTGATTAACACCGCGACTGGCACGGCCATACGCCACACCAGGATGCAGATGTAGAGGTGCTTCTCAGAGGAGTTTCCAAGCATAGTGGGTGAGCAAAAGTGCAAACACAGAGGGCAGCCATTTGCACAAAGCACTTGGGTGACAAGACCCATCAAACAGCAGAACACAGTTTAATACAGTGGTGCCTCGCAAGACGAAATTAATTCGTTCCACGAGTTTTGTCGTCTTGCAATTTTTTTCGTCTTGTGAAGCACGGTGTCGGGAAAGTTTTGGAAAAGCTTCAAAAATCACCAAAGTCTTTAAAAACCTCAAAAAAGGCTACCACACCGCTTTCTGTGAGTTGCTCCTCGAAGTCAAGTCGCAACTGTATTAACGGTGTTAAGAAAAAGGAAACAAACTTGCAAGACTTTTCCGTCTTGCGAAGCAAGCCCATAGGGAAAATCATCTTGCGAAGCAGCTCAAAAAACAAAAAACCCTTTCGTCTAGCGAGCTTTTTGTCTTGCGAGGCATTCGTCTTGCGAGGTACCACTGTAGTCTGCTAATCTGGGGAACCGGGTTCGCGTCTCCGCTCCTCCACATGCAGCTGCTGGGTGACCTTGGGCCAGTCACGCTTCCTTGAAGTCTCTCAGCCCCACTCACCTCACAGAGTGTTTGTTGTGGGGGAGGAAGGGAAAGGAGAATGTTAGCCGCTTTGAGACTCCTTAAAGGGAGTGAAAGGCGGGATATCAAATCCAAACTCTTCCTCTTCTTCCTGTAGGACCAATTTTTTTGCTTTCCAAAAGGATGGCACCTTGAGTCCAGTGTCTCTGAAAGTATTACATTTTTTTCCTAAGCAGAAAATTATTAATGGTCTTCTGAGCATGTGTAGAACATCCCCATGTCACGGAAAGCAGTATTATTAATTTTAAAAACCAGTATTCAGTTATTTGGACATATGCAGGATACCTCCGTCACAAATGCACTTTATAAGTAACTCCATCTGCTCCTATTTTTCCCTCCCAAACTGAAGGGGGAAAGCAGGAATGTGAGTTAGCTTTCCCTTCTCTGACAAAGTCTAGGGAAGAGCTGTAACTCAGTGGAGCAAGAGCATCTATTTTGCCTAGGATCCCATCTGATCTCTGGGATTTCCAGCTAGGGTTGGGGGAAAAAACCCTGTCTGAAATCTTGGGAGAGCCACTGCCAGTCAGTACTGAGCTAGATGGACCGATGATCTGATCTGATAACAGGCAGATTCCTATATATGTTCTTCTGCTTGATCTGTGGCTACAAGGCCCAGTCTGATGGGAGCTGCCTGCCGTCCACATTTGGAACACGAGCTTAAAGTGAGGCCACTCCTCTCTCACTCCCTTCCACTCCCTTTTACGTCACCTGCTGTGGTTAGCAGAAGGAACGCACAACACAGTTACCGATCTGACACAATTACAGTTCAGTAATTTAACAGGAAGCCTACAGATTCCAAAAGGAACTTACTTGGGATACACGGGTGCTTAGGATCTCAAGTCCTTTGCAGCGTTAGCACCTGAGTGGCACACATTCCCAAGCCACCCAAATCCTCTAGGAGGCTCACTCTATATGCAAATAACACATGGGGTAAACAAGCTTATATGGGACAGGTGTGTTCCAAATGTTTCTGCAGGAAAGCCTTTTACCCTCCTTTCCAAACAAAGACATTGGGAGTTGGAGAAAAATCCAATCTTGTATTATGGCTTTAGCCAGGCTAGCTGCAAATAACAAAAGCGGGGGCCACGGAAAGGTCTGCTTTCAATGATCTTCCTGTGACTTCACAAGTTATCTTTCATTCATTCCCATATTAATGCAAACATTAGGGAGAATAGGAAAAGATAAGATGTAAAAGCAGGGCACAGTCATGAGGATTGAGCAAGCGTCAGCTTGAGTGTGCATTATCAATACTTTTTTGTACCAGGTTAGGTTTTACTTGAAGCTATTTGAACAATGCAAAAAGATAAATTGAATTCCAGGTACCCACATAAAATGGACTTTGGGAATAATAATAATAATAATAAAACCAAGTGTGTCTGCTTCTGCCAAAGACAATTCACTGCAAGATACACCTTGGCTGAAACACAGCACTTTGTGACCTGCACGTAGCACATGATAATTCAGACAGCAAGTGGCTTCAGGTATTGTTAGGACTTAAGCCTAGGCCTGATCACAGGTGTATCTGGTAGACAATAGCAAGGAAGACTCTGTGAAAGGGCAGCAGATCTACAATGGTCTCAGACACAGGCTCAGAACCAGCCAAATTCTCTTTACAGGCATGTACACTCCAGAAACCAAGGAAAATTTTAGACTGGGCAGATGGATTTTTACAATACAGCTGCCTCTGCCCACCAAGTTACAAATGTGTTATGCTTCACACCCAGCAGCAATAAAAAAAACCTCTGGAGAAGTAATAAAGGGCAAAAGGTAACTAACAACTGGTGAAGATACATTTGCTTTTAACAAAGTCCCCAGAGTGCTATTGCTGTACCACAGCACTCTGCTGCTGCAGGCAACACAGCTACTTTTCCAGAATTAACAGTTGTGCGTCTTTAGATTAAGTAAAACTAATCTGCTGTGTTAAGGAAATAATAGAAGTGAAATGGTTTAGGCAATTGCAATAGGACTCGTATAAATACTTATTAATAGCTAGGGGCTGTGCCCCTGCTCGCTTCACTCGTCAATCCCCTCGCCTTAAGCCCAAGGTTCCCCTCCCCATCACATGCAACTACAAAACTTGCTTTTCACCTTCCCAAACCCCATTTCTGAATCTACTTCTCTCCTCTGTCACGCAGCCCAGTTTTGCACCCATGTTCGTCTACTTCCCCACCCTTGTGTGTAACCCGCCGCACACGCACAAACCACTTCCAGTTGCAAACCTGCAACTTCCTCCTCCCACCCATTGCAACTGCTAAAGACCCTTTTAAACCTTCCGCCCAGTTAGGAAGCCAAACCACCCTCCCTTCCTGTTTTACAGACCCTTTCACACCACTGCTTTAATCTTCATCCCCTTTCAGGTGCCTTCTACTCCCTCCTTTTTTTGCAACCCGATTTCACATCAACTCCCCTTTTCCTACCTCCTCCTCCTTTTTCAACTTGCCCTTGCACACAGATAACCATCTTCATGACTCCTCCTCTCATTCTGCAAACCTTTTTGGGGTGGTGTATGTTACTACATCTTTTAAGATGTACGAAACCTTCAGAGAAAGCCTGCCAAGTTTGCTCAGTTAAGAGCAGGTTAAGTTCAGATTGCAGGTGTTGTACATATATGGGTGTTTGCTCGTTAATAAAACACCTGTTCTAAATTACTACATCAAATCTGGAGCTTCCACTTGAACTCAACTCGTGGTACCAGGAGTGAAATACATGATCTGAAGGAACTGTGGAATATTTGAAGGCTCCACATATGTTTATCTCTCACACATGTGGCGGCTGCAGAGTAGAAGAGGGAGAATTTTGAGTACAGCAAGAAAGGAGGGACACTGAAAAGAGGGGGAACTGGCTGTTTTAAACAATGCTTTGAGTAAAGCGTGGTGAAGGGAAAGTGAGAGGGAAAATGCTCTCAGCTACCTCCCACCTGCCTGCGTGTCTTCCTACTTTACAACCAGTTCAGACAGTGGCAAACAGGTCAGCTGACTCCTCCTTAGACTCAGTGTTGCCCCTTGTAGAACTCAGCAGGGAAGTTGATGGGGACAACATTAGAATTAGTTGGGTTTGGCTGTCGTTGGCTCTGGCTCAATCTACTGTTGTGCCCCCTGCCTCCTGCCCTACCAGTCCGACACTGGTGCAGACAATACTGGACTAGATGAACTAGTGGTCTAACTTTGTATATAAGGCAGCTTCCTGTGTTACCAATGGTGAATAATGCAGGGCCAAGAATGCAACCAACAGGGGGTCTCCTAAGCAGGCAAGACTAGCTTTAGCAGAGAACAGAGAGGGGTAAAAATCACTGGTAGGCAGACATCTTACAAATCAGCTGGATTTACTGTTAAAATACATTGGCAAGAACTGGGATACCACCCAGAGGTCATATCTCAGGCACAAGTAAAGAAACAGGTTAAAAAAAATATTTTTTTTTTTAAAAAGAGGGAGAGGTGATCCCTCCCCCACCCACATACAGATTAGTGTTCGTTTTATCTTAAGTCTCTTGTGGACCACGACAGGCACATTTCTGTTGCTGTTCGTGATCACTGGCTCTGCCCTTGCAGGGCTGTTGGTACCAGTGCAGTTGCTACTTGGCTGCTAGCAGCTGCTTACGCTGTTGCTCCAAAAGGGCTTCTAGGTGGTCTGCTCTCTTCACGGCCGCCTGAAAAGAGAAGATAATTCAGTTCAGGGGAGAAATACGTATAGCGGTGAAAGGATGGAAGAGGAAAACAGCAGAATTTGCCATGCAAGGATGTAATCGCAAAAGTTAACAGAAGCTAATAAAATGAACGCAAATCAAAATTATTCTGATCGTTAAGGAATCACTTTTAAAACAGGAAGGTAAAAATTGTTCAAGGTCTCACTTTTATTGTTGAATTTAATGCGGGCGGGTGGGCGCGGAGAACAGGAAATAGGTACAAGTTAAATTGCAGGGAAATTATTTGGGATTTGGAATGATGGGACAGAAGTGGTTAAAAAGGGTGAGCATAAGCTTCATGTGGCATTGCAAAAGGAGGAATGTTTTACAAGATTGTGTAGGTGTTAATCTAATCACAGTCAGGATTTATCACATTTAGGAAATGGATTCTAATATATGTTGGAGAGGATGTATAGAAACAAGTAATTAGAGACATCCATGGCAAAGTTGTCCTAAAATCCTGGAGACATGGAGGAAAATGTTAAATATCATTAAACAAATTATGGGAACTAATCTAATAAAAAACATGCTGATTAATTCATTTAATTAATTAAACCGACTTTTAAAAAACCATTAATAATCTCTTAATGAGTACAAAGGTGTTGGTGAAAAGATCCCGAAAATGTGATAAGGAGTTAGCAATTAAAAAACGGGGATCTTGAAACTGCATTAACGTGCAGAAACTAACTAGCCACATGAAAATCAAAGAGAACTGAGAAAGTTTTATTCTATCTTGGGAAAATCAATGACCAGTTTACTGAAGTGTTTTATTTATGGATTTCCGGAACTTTGTGCAAACATATGTGCACTGTCATATTGATCCAACTGATCCTTCAAAATTAAAAAATAAATAAATGTTAATACTGCTTTTTATTACCCACAGCAATTGTTGTTTTGGCTGATGTTTCCTAGCAAAGAGTTCACACATTCAATTAAATTGCACACTGGATGGAATAATACTTTCCCCCATTCTTCTTCTAAACTAATTTGCTGCTCAACTCTTGCAGTGGAGTGGCTTCTCTGTGGCGGATGGCTACAATCGTGCTGGATTGAACAGGGTAATACCAAAATTACAAATTCAAATAGCTTTATTCATCTTATTCCCCTGAACATTATAAAATTAACAGCAGTAGCAGGAAAAATAACAACAAAATGAAACACAGGCTAGAATCCAATGCTGTCATTGCTCATATGGAACAGCTTTTGTTCTAGAAGACATCTCTACTAATGTGAGAGGAGGGAAGGAAATTTTCTCCAACTCTCCTTTCACCCCACACATGCCATCTTTTGCTCTGTTCTAGAGGGTCTGGGAAAGCCTCTAGAACAGATTTTTGAAGGGCTCCACTGGGAGATACCCCACCCCTCAAGTATTCAGGCATCCACTGGATCAAAAGCCATTATGCAAGTGGAGCGGCAAGACTGAATTCCACTCTTGATATCGCTAGCCAGCTACCTTTGGTTTGCTCTTGATCTTTCTAACTACCTGCAGAAGTCAGAGGATTAATTTATTTTATAGGGCTTTGGTCTCTCCTCAGTAGTCTCTTTCAAGGAGGAGTTGGTGCCACGAGCGTTTCATAATTCTTTTGCAAACTGTGACTCGGCAGCCAGCCAGTGCCTTCAATGTCTCTTCCCCTAATGAGCCCAGGGCTAGCTCTGCCATGTCACAATCTCCACCTGCGTCCTTGGATCCCATGAATTAAAGCTATCATTGTTTTCCTCACTTTTGTCTTATTCTCTGCATCAATGGTGACAAGGATAAGCAGCTTTGCAGCTCTCACCTCGTGTAGTTTTCGAAGGCTGTTCACTGCTTCCTCTTTCTTCACAATTGCTGTCTTCACTCTACAGAGAAGAAGGCGAAAGGAGACTGAGACCCAGGGTCATACACTTATGGTACCCTTGATGTTCTGCTGTTGTGTTGGAAGCTGGGGAAGAAGAGGAAGATGTTCCTGCTTCTGCAAGGACAATACCTGCCTCCTCTCTTTGGCTTCTCTAGAAGATCTCACATGGCGATATAAGCCCGTTCCCGACATTCAGTGGTGAATGGTGCCCCCAAATGAAGACAGATTTAAGTAGACTGTTTAAACATGTAGTAACTCCAAACATGCAGTCTCTGTACATGTGACTGGGCACCCTGCTAAGAGGCTGGGTTTTCTTTAGGCAAAATGTGATGCTGGGGTTTTTTTTGGGTTTGTGTGTGTGTGTGTTAAAAATAGATCCTGTTATACATGGGTCTTTATGCTCTCAGAATAGCAGTAAGAGATTATATAAATGTCTGAAAAATGACTGGGGTGCAGGTTTCTTTTTAGAGACAGCAACAAATGAAGAACCACCCCGAGATCATATGATGAAAGGCAGTATATAAATCTAAGGAATAAATAAAATAAAATATGGGACAGGTGACATTTGAAACTACTGGTTAGTGCTGCAAAAATAGATCATTTTGCTTACTCTGCTGTCTAAGATCTTGAAGATCCAGATTAACTGTAGTAAATCTTTAAGCAAAAAAGACAAGCAACTCAACCTATTGCGTTCACATGCAGTCTAGGTCCAAGGGACGAACCAAAGCTACAGGGACAGATCAGTGCTGTACAGACTTGAGATAGCGAAGAGGAATTTGTGCTACTGAAAGTCTCAGAAGAAGCGGTGGGACACAATATAGGTTTTTTTAGTAGTCAGGGACAGCAAGACTTCAGAACCAAGCACAGGTCTCTGACCTTCCCTCCTCATGACTTTCAGACGCAAAATACATTGATCAGCTTATCGGTGCCAACTTGCATAAGATTATACAGGTCACAATTCAGCTTGTTGTGGTGCAGAACTGTAGTTATCTAGGCACAGAATGCTAGCTCCCTGATTAGCTACACAGCCCCGTCACATCGCCACTTGACAGTTTTGCACCTTGGCAGGGCTGCCACACTAAAACTGACAAGAGCTTCTGCCTTGGGTGTGCATGGGCGGAAAAGACAACCACAGGCGTCACTTGGGATATGCCAGCCCAGGTTGCTGCAGCATTGTTCTAGGTCAGACCTGAACTCATCTACAGCAAGTGAGATCAATCCTCACCTTTTATGCACTTCTTCCAGCTCCTCCTCTTTGTCCCTCCTCACTCTGTCCAGTTCCAAGCGTTGCCGGGCACGAAGCTCAGCCATTTCTGTCTTGAGCCGCTTGTTCTCCTCCTCTGTGCTCACCAGCCGATCTGCAAATTCCTGCCGGATGACCTCAGAGAGGCTGCTGCGCTCCTGACTTAGCTGATCCGCTACCTGTTACAGCAAGCAGAGAGGGGGAAGAGTATGTGACATATTGATGTCACTTTCCAGATATGCAAAAGTCAGAGAGAAGGCAATGCTCAAGCTGCCATCCAAGGTCTGTCTAATTCTTTATTCTGCAGTTTACACCAGCAGAATTTACAGGTCCTTAAACCTTATCCATCAGCAAGTCCTAGGCTCTGTGGTTTAACCCACAGCGCCACCCGCGTCCCTTGAATCCCCACGACGGGGTGAGATGCTGTTGCTCGGTCCCTGCTCCTGCCAACCTAGCAGTTCGAAAGCATGTCAAAGTGCAAGTAGATAAATAGGTACCGCTCCAGCGGGAAGATAAACGGCGTTTCCGTGTGCTGCTCTGGTTCGCCAGAAGCAGCTTAGTCATGCTGGCCACATGACCTGGAAGCTGTACGCCGGCTCCCTCGGCCAATAAAGCGAGATGAGCGCCGCAACCCCAGAGTCAGCCACGACTGGACCTAATGGTCAGGGGGTCCCTTTACCTTTAAACCTTATCCATAGGGGATGCGGGTGGCACTGTGGGTTAAACCACAGAGCCTAGGACTTGCTGATCAGAAGGTCGGCGGTTCAAATCCCCGCGACGGAGTGAGCTCCTGTTGCTCGATCCCTGCTCCTGCCAACCTAGCAGTTCGAAATGACTGGACCTAATGGTCAGGGGTCCCTTTAAACCTTATCCAAAGACAAGAACCCACACACCTCTCCTATACTCACAGCATCAGGGTCTCTGGGATTCCTCCCTACCTTCCCTTTCTCCCCTGGATTTTGGAGAGGAACTTGTCTGAGCAGAAAAAGCTTACTAGGAAGTCACCGCTCACCCACCTTTCGGATATCCTCTGTCTCCTGTTCCTTCTGCCGCAGCAGACCTCGCAGGTGAAAATTCTCGCCTTCTGCCTCCGAGAGCCGTCCCTTCATCTCGTTGCAGCGCTCCTGGAGTTTACGTTCTGAGCGTTCCATTTCTTGCAGCTCTGCTTCATATTTGTCCCGCAATCTCTTTATTCTGAATAGAGAATGGGAAGAGCTCCTGACTGCCTGCTCACGCTGGAGCAGACCCCCCAGTTTTGTCAGGAGGCCTTTGAGGCATAAACAGCTCTTAAGACCATTTTTATGAATGAGGTGACTGTAGAGAAGGGTTCTCAAGCTTTCTGCCCACTGGGGCCACTTGAGAGGGCTGAAAATTACTGAGGTCTAGAAGTCACAAAATATTGGTGGAAGGGTAGAACTGGTTTGGAGCTCATATCCTGCAGCATTGCTTTACAAATTTGCCAAAGCACAAATGAAGTGTTCTGATCTTCTGGCACTCTGAACAAAGTGTGTTTGTGTGTAAAGGCAAGCCAGTTCTGAGAAAGCTCCTTCTATCTTTCAGCTTCCAAAAAGACACAGATAAGTGCCTTCATTCAATGACCGATAAAGGCACTGTGGGCCATCTATTGCATGCACCAGATCTAATGAATACCTGGAGCGATGAGAAAAATAAAAAAGGCAAGGTAGCAAATATGTGGGCTCAAGGACCTCGTCACAAAGGAATACCAGCAATCCCACCTGTAAAGTCAGGATTATTACCTGTTGCTTCAAATGGCTGGTGATTCAAGGAAAGCAAAACAAGTGTGTAAAATATGCAGATACACACCACCTGACTAGGCCAACTACTTGCCTGTGTAGTTGAGGGTCACAATACCTCGAGGGCCACATCTCCCCATATGAACCAACCCAGACCTTGCAATCATCACCTGAGGCCCTTCTTTGTGTGCCTCCTTCATGCAAGGACCAGAGGGCGGCAACACAAGAATGGGCCTTTTCTGTGGTGGGTCCCAACTTGCGGAATGCTCTCCCCAGGGAGGCTCGCCTGGAGCCTTCATTACATTTCTTTAGGAGCCAGGCAAAAACATTCCTCTTCTCCCAGGCCTGTGGCTAATTAAACAATCTATGCCTTTTAAACTATGTGTGGAGGGGTTATTGCTTTTGTTCATTTGGATGCGGGTGGCGCTGTGGGTAAAACCTCAGCGCCTAGGACTTGCCGATCGCATGGTCGGCGGTTCGAATCCCTGCGGCGGGGTGCGCTCCCGTTGCTTGGTCCCAGCTCCTGCCAACCTAGCAGTTCAAAAGCAGCCCCGGGTGCAAGTAGATAAATAGGGACCGCTTACTAGCGGGAAGGTAAACAGCGTTTCCGTGTGTGTGGCTCTGGCTCGCCAGAGCAGCTTTGTCACGCTGGCCACATGACCTGGAAGTGTCTGCGGACAGCGCTGGCTCCCAGCCTCTAGAGTGAGATGAGCGCACAACCCTAGAGTCTGTCAAGACTGGCCCGTACGGGCAGGGGTACCTTTACCTTTACCTATGGTGTGTGTGTGTGTGGCAAACTGCCCTGTGATCCTCAGATGAAGGGCAGTATAGAAATTTTAACAACAACAACAACAACCCTGCACGAGGTCCACAATGAGAAACCAGCTTATAAAAAGCTTGAGCCAAAATGCAGAATGCCATCTGGAGAACAACGGGAACGCAATTATTTTTGACCTTCGTACAAAAATACGGATTTACCTGTTCTCTGTGGCTCTCTCACACTCTTCCTTAGCAGAGGACATGTCAGCTTCTAGCCGCTGAATGACCAGTTCAATCTCCTTGTCCCTTTCTTTCCGGACTTCTTCCCTCAGCTCTCGCTCCCGAGTGAGCAGCCAGGCCTCCTGAAGGCAAGACAAGAGAGCCCAGGTAAAGTTTAATCTGGGCAACCAAGGTAAAGCGAGAGGGCAGCTTAAAAGGGGAACTGCAACATTACCTCCTTCTTCAGGTAGTTGGCCTCCCAGGCCTGCTTCTCCATCTCCAGCTGCACCTTCAAGGCCTGCACCTCTGCCTTGAGGAAGGAGGAAAGAGCACGGTGAGGCGGGGATCAGGGACAAAGGAGAGAGAGGGGCTGACCCCCCCAATCTCTTCCCCTTCCAATCTCCAATATATTAATCGTGGTCCAAGATTTCCAAATCAAAAGAGCATGTGTGTTTACCAAATGGATGCTCAAAGAGGATTGAAATTATTATTTTCATCTACACCACTCCTAAGATTGAAAGGATGGAGCACTACACCAGGCTTTCTGCTTTGCAAGAGTGCTCCACACCCGGTGCAACCACATCGGTTGTGTTCCTGGCCACAGGAAAACGAAGGTGGCAGGATGGAGGCTGTTTTCAAAACTACTGTCTGTCTCCAACCTCAGCCTCAGTTTTATACGTCCACATTCTTCACAGAGACATAGAGGCCATGGCCAGGCTTACTACTAGCTTGCCAGGCTCTCTGCCTGTCTGTGTATGTGGTCTCACCTTCCAAACTGCACCCTACTCATCAAACAGAAAGAGGACTGGGAGCAGATTGGGATTCCATTCTAGTCCTGCAATGAAACGGGTCAAAAAACTGAGGTCACTGACACAATTTGTCTGCCAACCCTCAACCACACCATCAAAATCCAAGTGGCAAGTGCTGAATAATGGGAAATAAGGGTTTCCTGGTGGCCCATTCTAGACAAACTTATGCACTTCCCTGATAAGCTACAGCTTGAGAAGAGCTAGCTCACTCCAGCCCTGTATAGCAGGGGAGGGAAGATTTTAGGCTTGTTTGATCTGCCGTGGTTTTTTTTTTCTTTACTAGAACCCCAAGATCAATCAATCAGAGCCATATTCAAAAGACACAGGGGTAGATCTAAAGACCAGGGTGGCTTTGAGCACTTTCTGAGCCCAGGAACTGAGCTCAAAGTCCTTTCCCACAACGGTTAGCTGCTTTCATTTCAGTACCCTAATTTAGGGTCATTTTGCTGTTGCTGCTCTTGAACCATTTTTTGTTAAAACTATCTGGAGTCAGAAGCTCTTACTGATGTGCAATAAATGTACCAGATCTGCCTTCTGCCCACTCCTGTCCTGTATTGTGAAAGCCTTCCTGTAGAAAGCTGCCCAAGTCTAACAGGGGAAGTGCAGGTAAGTCCATGGGACAGAGCTGATCTACATAACAGGATACATGCTTAGGGACGGGGAGGGCCAACAGGAAATCAAGATGCAGTTAAAACTACATTTTCAACTTCAGGAACCAGTGGAATCATATAAAGCAAAAAATGTCAGAGGGTATATGGCCCAGCAGCGCAGAAATCCCCAGGGTTGTATACACCGACCTGATGGCGTCGCTCCTGCTCCTCCTTCCCTTTCTTATATTCCTCCTTCAAAGCTTTGGTAACAACAGAGCTGTTCTCTTCCAGCTGCCGCCGCAGGTCCTCCAACTCAGTCCTCTGCCTGGGGAGCACAGATCAATACCATGGAACTGACAGCTTACCCGGCTTGGCAAGACAATCCAGGGACAAGCTGGACCTCTCTGGAGAAATGGGGGAAATTGGAACCTCAGTCTGTTCTTAGTCACTCTCCCAGCAAAGGCAATTTACAGAGAACTGACCCAGGGTGGCGTGGGGAGAGCACTCACCACAGTGTTTCAAGCATCTTGCAGTACACAGCAAGAGAGGAAGCCACATCTGCAAATCTTCCTGAGAGCTAAGGTTTCCCCCTGGAAGTGGAACAAGCTGCTCCAATCTCATCTGGTAACTTAGTATGAGATGTCTATGATGAAAACAATACACTCTGGGACTTGGTGTTTGTTACCTTGCGGAATTCCAGTACTTGGTGGGTTCTTTCTATGCACTCTGCACTGCACAAACCAACCTGCTCTACATATCCAGCAGCTTTGAAGCCAGTACCTACTTCTCTCACCTGGCCGCCTGCTGGTTGAGCCTTTCTTTCTCCTCGGCCACCTCATTGTACAGTCGGCGCCTCTGTTGCTGCAGAGCCTGTTCCTCCTGCTCCAGTTGTTTCTCATACCTGTGTGGAGGGACTCTTTCAGAGAGGGTCTTACCAAGGGTGCTGTATCCTTGGTTTGGCCTGAGGTTTAGGGGGAAGCAGAGGGAGCAATGATTTCCTATGCTGGGAGAAAATGTAAGATGACACATAGTCCCTTTTGGGCATACTTAAGAGTTATCAAAAAAACACAGCCATCACAGAAGAGAGGGGCCAAATTTCCACTTGGGAACAGAGAAATTGGAAGAGGAGAAACCCGGCAGCTGGGAGGAAAGGCTCAGTAAGAATGTTATCAAAGGTCACAGCAAGCATGCAAGTAACTCTTGAGAGGTTGCTACCCCCCCCCCAGCTCTGTTTATCTGCTACCTACTTCCTATAGAACAACAACAGGTGCCTGTCTTGGCTCTCTGAAGTCAAGACTAACAGCCAGGATAGCACCACAAAGCTGTTTCTGGACAAGGAAATACAATAACAGCTTTATGGTAAGGGCCAATGTGCTTACTCTCCCTCAGCTCTACGTACTGTATCAATGGTATTGTATTGCCTTTCTCGCCCTGATCTGGCCACAGTGATCCATGCAACGGTCACCTCCAGGCTTGATTACTGTAACTTGCTCTACGTGGGGCTGCCCTTGAAGCTGACCCAGAAACTCTAGCAGGTGCAGAATGCCACGGCAAGGCTCCTTACGGGGTCCTTGCCATGGGATCACATTCATCCAGTGCTTTACCAACTGCACTGGCTCCTGGTGGAGTACAGGGTCAGGTTTAAGGTGCTGGTTTTGACCTTTAAAGTCCTATGTGGCCTAGGACCCACGTACCTACCGGACCGCCTCTCCTGGTATGACCCATGGAGGACCTTACAGTCCACAAATGACAACATTTTGGAGGTCCCAGGTCGCAGAATGGTTAGATTGGTCTCAACTAGGGCCAGGGCCTTTTCAGTACTGGCCCCGACTTGGTGGAACGTTCTGTCACAAGAGACTAGGGCCCTGCGGGACTTGACATCTTTCCACAGGGCCTGCAAGACAGAGCCGTTCCGTCTGGCCTTTGGTTTGGACTCGGTCTGACCCTTATGTTTCCCTCCCCTTATGGTCTTGATTTATCGGCTACTTTTAAAATAAGACTGCATTTTAAATTGCATTTGAACCTGTATTTTAAATTGTCCCCCCCCCCCATTATGCTTTTACTGTGATTTTATTGGTGTTAGCCGCCCTGAGCCCGGCTCTGGCAGGGGAGGGCGGGGGATAAATAAAATGTATTATTATTATAATGGGAGAAACAGCTAAACTAGCAGTATAACTAATCTACACCCAATTTTTTTCCAGCTGTTACCTTCCACTGAGTGAGCTGTTCACACAGTTTTCAGGGGTGCTGCCTTCTCCAACTGTCAAGCAGAAATACTATACCCGAGCAGCTTGTTTCCTGCTGCCACCTTTCTGCCCCAACTCTCTCTCTCCCCACAGGCCACCTTCCCTTCCCTGAACAGCTGCCATGCAAGTCCTCACTTCTTCTGTGTGCCACCACACTGGGTTGCCTCACCAGCTCCTCCCTCTCTTTGCAATGTAGTCCTCTTCCACCGCCCCTCTGTATAAGTAAGTTGTGCAAGCTCTGCACCCTAAGCCCTACATACCGTTGCCTTGCCAGCTCTCTCTCTCGTTGCCCCTGCTCTTCTTTCTCATGCTCCAGCATCTCCCTCAGCTCCTCCGTCTGGCGTACGTAGCGCTGGGCTGCCCGCTCATCGGATTGTAGCAGCTCTGCTTCATGCAGCGTTTTCAGCTTTTTGATCTCTAGCTTGTGCTTAGCAATAAGCTTCTGAATCTCAGGCTCCAGACCTGAATGGAGAACAAATGGGGAGAACTATTAGCAAGATATGGATGGCAGTGGTCACTAAAGAAAGGTCCCATTTGCCAAAGTAGGCAAACTTTGCTGAAAAGCAAAAACTACAATTGGAATACTTTACATTAAAACATTCTATGCACACATGCAGCACATAGCTCTCTGGGCATGGCAAGTGCTGGCTGACGTAGTGAATGATGGAGGCTTACTGTGCATGATACAGTAAGAAGAAGCCTTGCAACCCTGACAGTCATCTGACTGGGTCACCCTCATCTCAGTTCCAAACAAAAACTCTAGTAACAGAGCTGAGCCATGGTAAGGGAACAGAAAAGAAAAAAAAGCCTGACCTCTGATCCTAGTAGGGCAAAGCATATATGCAATGCTTACTAAGTGATTCTCAACAAGGAGAGACTACAAGTCAAATCCTATAGATTTTGCTTTTTAAAAAGTCACTCCCTAGTGCTTTTGTTAAAGAAGCTTATTTTTGCACAGAAAGCTGTAACAATCTCCCCTCCATCACCTCCCTAAAGTCACACATAATGATGACTCAGTTTTAGGAGCAGGGATGCAACAGTGCTAACTGTACTGTCCCCACCCCACCCCGCCCCAATTGCATTTTAATAGAGAGATTTTCACATTGTTAGTGTCATTACTTTTTAACTAATATATACATATAAAAAGGGGATGGGGGTGGCAGTGTGGGTTAAACCACAGAGCCTAGGACTTGCCGATCAGAAGGTCGGCGATTCGAATCCCCGCGACGGGGTGAGCTCTCGTTCCTCTGTCCCAGCTCCTGCTAACCTAGCAGTTCAAAAGCACGTCAAAGTGCAAGTAGATAAATAGGTACCGCTCTGGTGGGAAGGTAAATGGCGTTTCCGTGCGCTGCTCTGGTTCGCCAGAAGCGGCTTAGTCATGCTGGCCACATGACCCGGAAGCTGTATGCCCCCAAAGTCTGTCACGACTGGACCTAATGGTCAGGGGTCCCTTTACCTTTACATATATAAAATGCATTAGCTATGTGTGTTTTATTTGTATTAGTTTTCATTTTAGTGAGCCGCCTTGAGTCCCTGGCAAAAGGCAGGATAGATTGTAATTATTGTAATTATTATTACTCTTGCTATTATTATTATTATTATTATTATTATTATTATTATTATTAAAGGAGTCAGTTCTGCAGTCCCACTAACTCTACATTGAATAAGCCACTCCTTGTGCATAATGGTAGCAAGAAGATGACTCAGTCACAGATATCCACAAATACCTTTAACAGTGATCTCTTTGATCTTCTTGGTTTTCTCATCAATCCATTTCTCCCGGCGGATCTTTTCTGTGGCACTCATGAGTTCCTTCAGCTTCTTTATTTCCTGCAGGGGAAGAAAAGGGGAGGGGGAAATGCAAGACACAAATCAGACATTTCTTCATTAAATACTGAAAACTTGCTGCCCATGAACCTGCCCAGGCTGTCATGAAGTGCCTCCTCTATACACAGAGAAAGCAGTAGGTGCACACCCTGCCTCACTGCCTCCCCGCAACTCTGGCTGGATTCCCAGCAATGCAACCTTGCAAAGAAAACCTGTAATGAGTTTTCCTTCCCAGCTATCAACAATATATCCAAAGATAGAGAAACAGCAACGGAACCTACTGAAAGCATATACCTAAGTAAATTCGGGTTTGTGCACTACGCTCACACTCACACAGATTGAGTATATGAGCAGGACTGTGCATATTTATGTGGCAAAGCAAGATGAGGGATATCACTTCTGAGGATCCCAAATTTTAAGAAGCAGATTTCTAACCACAGGCACAGAGGAAGGTGGTCTGGTGATTTCAGCTGAAGGCGTACTGTTGGCTGACCTGCTAGTAGCTAAGACAGGCTCCACACTTCCTTCTACATCCCCTGCCCCATGAAAAGCAATTCAAGGTTTCCTCTCCCCCTCCTTCTAGCTCTCCACTACATTGGCCTTTGGCAACAGAATCAGGAAACCTAAACACCTCAGCCATAAAATGGAAGAGGGAGGGTACACAGGAACATGAAAGTGCCTTAAACTGAGTCGGATAATTGCTCCATCTAGTTAAGTATTACCGACAGCGTTTATTCTGAATGCAGTAGAGTAATCCTAACTCTGCCCAGGATTGTTCAGAGTGGCAGAAGTACTGCTGCACCTGAAGCTCTGCTGGTTCCTGCTGACCAGTGCAGAATATGGAGGTGGGGGGTATCTTCTTATTTTTCTGCACTAGCTATAGGTTGGCACAACAGCTCATTGGCCCCTTTCTACCAAATGGGCCAGCTTAGAAAGTTGCGGGTCCCTGGCCAGCTCTGCTCTCCTCCTGAAATGTTCCTTTTCAGAGTCTTGCACCAGCTATTGCCAGCAGGAACATTGGTAAAAGTAGCTCCAAAACAGCCCAGGGGCAGGAAAGGTTCCTATGGCAGTGGAGCTCTTCTACCCTGCCAGCAGAGCCTAGCAAAGGGACATCTCCACTGAATGCATCCCCTCTAAGTGCAGATCAAGGCTAGGATTGCAGCCTACTTCTATTTTCCCCTTGTCAGTATTCCACTTTGCAATCTCGTTAGCATACTAGAATTAATCATCGGTGCTCATTGGCTTCTTAGACCCAGAGAAATGATGGCATTGGTTGAAGGACAATACCACTGCCTTTTCTTGAGAGACGTTTTGCTTATGATGGTGCATGCAAATGTTTATTTTGTCCTATTGCTGTCTCTGTCCAAACACTTTTTGCAAATCATGGGTGGGATTCAACAGAGCAGACCTACTGAAATTAATAGACTTAACTTAGTCAAGTTCATTCATTTCAGTGGATCTACGCTGAGCAGGCCTAGTGTTAAATTCCACCCTTTAAAACAAAATGGAACTTGCAAAATTTATTTGCATAGAAGTTGAAGTGGGGCATGAATACACATCTTGAACAGCAATCCCTCTTTCAAACCACCTTCAATGCTCTGAAAAAACCCACCACCCCCTGTCATCTGTCTTCAGTTTTGTCCAAGTCTACCCACTGAACTTTATGAATGATATTTGAACGTGGGTCTATCCACTGAGTAGGCAGTGAGGAATGCAAAAGTGACTGAGGAATTTGGATTGGTTTTGCTTCACAGGCAACTCCACCAAAAGGCTGTTCAGTAAGGCACTGAGAATAAGAGTTGAAGAGCAGTTCCACTTTTGGCTGGCATCTGACATGACCATGAAAACAGACACCTAGAGCGTGCCACTATCAAGGAAGAGCTCTTTGTCCCAAGCTGCAACAAGTGCCCTAGCTATACCCCCAAAGAAGGGACCTAACACAGGAGGTGGGGAACCTGTGGCCCTCCAGATGTAGCTGGATTACAGCTCTCATAACCAGTGACCCCTCTTGCTGGGTGTGACTGATGGGAGCTGAGAGTCCAACAACATTGGGGTGGGGGGAGGCGTCACAGGCTCTCCACCCCTGGATCTAAAGAATTCACGAATAGTTGCACCAACAGGCTCAAGACAGGTGAGAGAGACAAAAGCTGAAGCCAAAGAGCACGCACAGAAAAGGTTTACCTCACAGAGGGGGCCCAGAGTGCGCCAAACCTAGAGAGAAAGAGGAAGACGTGAGAGATAGAGGGAAATGGAAAGGAGTGTGAAATAAGAGTGTCTTGGGAAACAGGTGCAAAGAGGCAACTGGCAAATGCTAAGATCTGGAGCAGCTGGGCTCCTGCGAACGTTCAAAGTGTTTGCCAAGGCGAGGCTCATCCAAGCGCCGAGAAAGCTTCCTACTTTTGCAGGGAAGGGTGTGCCAAGAAGCAGAAGCAGCAAAACCAAGCAAAGGAGACTCCTTGGTTTGGGCAGCTTTGCCAATGCAAATCCTTAGCTGTCTAGTTTCCCCTTTAATGATAACAAAGGCAGTCACAACTATCTTGTATTGTTAATGATCCTATAGAACAAGGGCGCTTAGTTAAGTGCTACAAGCTATTAAGACATGAGAGAAGAGCCTGGGTCAGTTCGGTTTATTAATTCCAAAGCTCTGGGTGGCAGGAGCTTCATTTGCCCTTTCCCAGAAATGTTATAGCTATAATCAAATGGAAGCCAGCAAGTCTTTCTTTTTAAGAAGGGCCAACTGCAAGATGGGGCGGAATGGCTTCAGCCAATGAAGCATATTCCAAATGGGATGAACAGCAAAGGAAAGGGGAATGATTTCGCAGGAACCTAGGACAATCCTTCTGGCTTAGTAATGGTAACATATCCCATGCTTAGCTACAAATGCCCTTGCAAACAGCCATGCTGTTGTGAACTTGCTATATCCAGCATAAAAGACATACAGTCTTAACTTGAGTTAGTCTTAGGCATTGCACTCTATAAACTACTATATTTACTCGAGTCTAATGCGCCATCGAATTTAATGAACACCTCAATTTTCAGAACCTTGAAACCAAAAAAACTGTTTGCCGGTGAATCTAACGCACACCTTAATATTCGCAACGTAATTTGGCCAAAAAAGGTGAGCATTAGATTCGAGTACATACGGTTATTCCTACCCAGTTTCAGTCAGAGTTAAGAAACTGTTCGGAAAAATAAGGATGAATTGTCATTGGGCCCTGGCAGGGGACTGCTATAAGCATGACCTCCAGGCACAGCAAGAACCAGAGATGCAGACTTTCTCATTGCTCCTGCCACCCTAGGATGTCTAGCTCAACCAAAAAATTCGAGAGAGACAAGCACTATTTACAGTCACAACCAATTCTCTCTTTTTGTTACAAATGCCCCTCATTTCAACTTAAAACAGACCTCGTTGCACAGGATGAGGTATAAGAAATCCCTCCCCATTTGCAAAGAAGGAGCAGGATGTCTCCAAATGCATCATGTCACATAAATACTTCCGATTCAGCAGCTAGAGCATCACCTCAGCCGTATCAAAGCAACCAAGCATAGAACAAAGAAAAAAATATTCAGCTAGGCTTAGTTGAGAATCTCCTCACCAGGTACAAGAAGAGGCCTTTTCCACCATATGGTGTACAAAAAAAAAAGGGAGGGGAACTCATACCCTGGATATTTTTTTGTGTGGAAAACGAAACTTCTACACTTCAGACAGCCTTAATGCTCCCCTCCACCCCTCAAGCATTCTGTATCTCTCGTCTTTCTCTCGGCTGGTCAGGAAAGAGGTCTTCAGAAGGTCCCAACACTGCTTACGGCTTTTAACCTGGTTCCTGTCTACGAACCAAAGGAGAACTATTCAGATACTTTATCTAGCTGGTGTGCAGCTCTGACACCCAAGGAACTAAAAGCTACTTCCTCACCAGCTCATGCTGCTCCTGCATCTGGGCAATTTTCTTCGTGTATTTCTGATCCACTTGTTTCAGTTCAGTCACCACCGCTTCACATTTCTCGCTCAGAGTCTTCTTATCTTCAATCAGCTGTAGGGGATGGGTGAAAAGGAGGATAAAGTCACAGCACCTCCCCAAAATTACATCTACTATAGTGGCAGGCAATTGGGAGAGCAAGGACTTTAAGGCTGCCACCTTACGCAAGTGTCAAAGCGGATGCTGAGCTCCTCCTTCACCATCCTAGTCAAGCATTACACCTTGAATTAGTGTGTTTAGTTGAAGCTGGGAGAGGTAAAAGCATATAGATATGCCAGCAGTGCAAAGGAGTCTAGGAAGGGGGTTGTAAGCAGGGCGGGACAGAATAATATCTTCACCTTCCCATCTTCAAAAAGGAGTGGGCATGGGGGGAAGGAGGAAGATACCTGGTCGATGAAGGCTAGGTGCCGTTGGATAGCTGCTTCATACTGCTCCCTTTGTAGTGCCAGCTGGCGGCTCAGCTCTTTCTCTGTCCCTTTGACATGACGTACAGTCAGCTCCCGTTGCTGTGCCTGCAGGAAACAATAACCCGGGCATATTCAGAATAAGCTGGGCTATGCAGCCAAATTAAACCCCACAAAAAAACAGAGAAGGAAAAGAAAACGCATGTCACGTGTATGCTTACTCTCAGACAAGAGGATCTTCCCATCCAAACAAAGGAATGTAGGAAGATGCCTTATCCCAAATCACACCACTGGTCCATCTTTCTCAGTGCCTACCCCAGGAGTGAGGAGACTTTGGCTCCCGGATGTTACTGAGCTACAACTCCTATAATCCCTGGCAATTAGCCATACTTGCTGGGACTAATGGGAGCTGTAATTCAGCAACATCTGGAGGGTCAAAGGTTCCCCATCCTTGGCCTACATTGACTAATGGGGGCTTTCCAGGGGTTTCAGGCAGGGGTTTCTCCCAGTCCTTCCTTGGAGATGCCAAGGACTGAATCCGAGACCTTCTGCATACAAAGCAAATGTTCTGCCAAGGAGCTAATTCCCTTCTCCCTTACTGATGGCTTTGTCTGGCTTCACAAACCAGACTGCAGAAGCCTAGGCTGCCAGGTAGAGTAGGCCTCTGCAACTTTGGCTGCTCAGGCTTTAAATTCATGTATCTTCCACACAACATAGCTGAATCCTGGGCTCTGCTGTGCTTTGTGACACAGCCCCCCCTTTCCTAGCACATGCAAACCTGCCATGGGATTAGTCTCTAGTTACCCACCAGTGCTGTCTGTAGCAATGTGATGGCTCTCTTCTTCTCTTCTACCTCCAGCTTCAGCCGCATGATGGAGCTGGTAACCTCTGTGGCAACTGCTGATGCCTGCTCCAGGTGAGCTAGCTCTTCTTCTGACAAGAGCCCCTGACAGGTGGTAGAAATGCAGGTCTTGGTGTTACTACTAAGAGTTTCTCTTTTAATAGAACATCTAAAGTTACTCGGCTCACGTTTTGCTGATTACAAACCAACCTATTAATTTCCTGAGGCAGACCTAGTTATCTGCCTCAAGGAAGATGAGACCAGCCATTTATGCTGGAGGCCAATACAGCAGCAAAATCCCAATATGAATTTTATGAGCTTGCAAACTCAATCCTCTTTTTTGTTGCATCAGGTGAAGACAATTACCCACTTAATTCACTGAAAACGGCGAATTCCCATTGCTGCTGAAAAGTCAACTTCATGCTCGGGGGCTCACCTCTCGCTGGGAAGCAGAGGCAGCAGACCTAGGTCGCTCCTGCTCGGATTTCTCCATCTCATCCAAGAAACTAATGATGCTCTGAAGTTTGGCTTCCGAGAGGAGCGTGCCTTCCTCAGGGACTCCCGGAGAATAGTTCAGTTTCCCAAACTTCTCCAGGTTGTCAGCAGTGAGAGAATTTGAGTCAGCCTCCTGTATTTAGGGAGAAAAGGGCAGCTATCTATGCTAGACTTAGACAGGAATGGCAGAACAGATATACTTCAACCATGAGTTGTGGATAAGAATAGAATCAGAGAATCATAGAAATGTAAAATTCTTGTGGACATGCACTTATTGATGGACCATGTTTTCCAGGAAAGTCATCTTCTAGTCTACTTTAACTAAAAACCAGATGCTAGTGTGAGTTAAATGAAAGGACTTTCTGACTCAAGAGGGGGTGATTTCCTCAACTCTCTTTAGGATAACCGAACATGCAAATAATACTATCAAAGGTATTTGGAGTTGGTGGAAATAGTTGTGGGTCACAATAGATCAGCAGCAAATTATTGTGCACAACATGAGACAGTAGCAATGGGATGCCCTTTACTTCCTGGCCCATGGAAAACAAAAAACCAGAACCTCAAATGAGGTTGTTGATTCAGGGTAACAGCTTCAGAATAAATCATGAAAAAGGAACAACAGACAGAGACAGATAGATTTCTTTTATCTATTCCACTTACCCCATCTACCCAAGCATATTTATCTTCTTTGCAGGCCTTGGGTTGTGGTGGCAACTCTGGCTCCTCCTCCAACAACTTTAAGGTATCCAGTAGCTCATTAAGGGTGACTTTGGACTGTGCTCTGCTGGCTGCAGTGATAATAGTTTCCAAGTCTTCACTGCCCATCTTTCCAGAGCTGACATCCTTAAAAACAGAGAAAATCCATGCACGGTGAGATTGCAAGAAGGGCACATTCCTGGTGTTTCATTTGAATGGAGTGAGTAGATCCATCTCCTCACAGTACAGTGTGCAAGCTGAACAGAATATTTAATAGCAAAGCACTTGAAAACTGTGCAAACTGCAAAGTCACCAGAGTAAAAAAAGAAAACAGCAACCAAGCTTTTGGGAGCATGAGAAAATAGAAAGGGGCACCTGTGGCTGATCTTCAGGTAGTTTGTTTTGTCCTGAGACAGACAGACAAGCCCCAGCAGAATGTTCTTCTGTATCTGCAGCTGCAAAGTGGAAGTTGGCATCTGTAAATAACAACAAAAAGGATTTGCTATGGTAGGAATCCAGTGCCCAGAAACATAATCAGGTGTGGTGGGTTTGTGTGAGAATTTTTGTTTTTTTAACAGATAAGCAAAGGACTATATCTTGAGCAATGAAGATTTTGGCTGAAAAAAACTCTTCTATTACATGCATGAAGGCGTGGTGAACAGAGGCTGTTTTTCAGTCCAAGGTGGAGAACTTGTGGCTATTTGACGGTGGTAGATGTCGACAAGGCAAAAGTGGGAAGAGCAAGTGGTATTACTTTTACCTTTCTACAGTAGGCTATGTTCCAGCAACACAAACCTCAGAAATTTCTAAACCCATATACAGACAATCTCTCCGGTCTCCATCACAGAAGCAGGAGGCATTATTGCAAGTCCAAGGACACATTCAAACAAGCCAAAGACACTTGGGGAGGGTGCAGAGCAGGGCTGATGAGTGGTATGGTCTGGATAGGGGCATGGCCTGGGAAAGAGTCCTGAGGGCCAAACAGACCTGGAGAACCACATTTGGCACCAGGTTCAAAACTCCCCACCCTTGGTGTGCAGCTTGTCTGATGAAGGTTTCTAGTTACACTACAATGGGAGGAAGTGGGTGAGCATCACAATGGACTCTTCTTTGACTTGGTCAGACCAAGCACCAATTGCATTTGGATGAGCTTCAAAGTGAAGCTGTGTGTTACTGGAACGAAATGCAACTGTAACACACACATTTTGCAGACACAGCAATATACAATTTAGCAATAGTATTTCCATTCCGCCCTTCCCTTTTGATTTCCTCAGGACTTCCCAGCAACCACAGAGCTGCAGCAACCAGTTGCACACATCTTCTCCTGAACACTTCTTGCTTGAGCATCTAGACTTCTCTGAACTTTTTCCTTCAACATCTCTGGCATGGTACTTTGTGCTTGGTTCTCCCTAATGCAATCTGTGGTCTCAATGATCATATACTGTTTTGCAACTTATCTGGTAAAATGATAGGACAGTTGTAGGCCTACCAGATCCAGTATAACTGCACAGACATTGCACTGAAGCTGTGAAGAACCTGGGACTTCAACCCCTATCAGCCAAGCATGGACAGTGGACAGGTATGTTGGGAATTGTAGTTGAACAATATTTGGAGGGTCAAAGGTTTCCTACTTCCTGGACTAGAGGAATGTTCAGGAGACATCTTTACCTACAGTTTCACAATCTACCAGTACTTTTCACCTGCATTGTTGGCTTTGATGATGCTGTTGGCAGGGCTAGTGTTCTTCACAGAGCCAGCCTTCTCAGGTTTTCTTCTTCTGGTTTTCTTGCTCTCTTTCATTGCTGCCAGCTCCTCCTCAACCAAGCGTTGTGTATCCAAGACTTTCTGGGCTCTTTTTTGCTGCAGCTCCTAGCAGAAAAAAAATGGTGTTAAGTGTTCTGTTATGGTCCACTTGCTCCTCCATTTGCAGCACTGGCAAATAAATACGTTCCAAGCTCTGAACAAACTGAAGCAATGAACTGATCCTCCCTTAATGTCCAAGGCAGGCAATGCTGGTATCAAGCCCCTACCTGAATGGCTGCTCGTCTGGCAAGACGTGCCTTCTCCTCTCGAATCTTTTTCCTCTCCTCGTCTCGCCTCCGCTGCAAATCCAACATGTTGCCCTCCTCTGTGAGTTGCTGCTGCCTTTCCTTAAAAGGAGTTGAGGCAGAAAGGATTTTCAGGTGTTGTTACCAGTTTCCTATTCTGGTACAAATGACAGCTGGGTTCCCCCGCTCCCCGCAAGAGACACTAACACACGGAGATGTTTTTATTAAAGTATCAAGAAGCTCAAGAAATAAAAAGAAATTCAGACATTCCTGTACATTTCAGATGCGGGACAATTAACTGATTTAGGGCTCTGCTACTACCAGACAGGATGAGAAGGCCTTGCTAATAGCTTTTTGCACAGCTGTAGCCACACTGCTGTGGAAAAGAAGTAGTTTCAGTTTTTGATAGAAAAGAAAAACAATAAGGACTGGTGTAGAGTTTGGATTGTTTCAGAGCAGCAGTATCAAATTTGAGTTAAAGAAAGCTGTTCTGTAAATGCACTAATGAATAAATCTCTCTCAAAAAACCCAGTTTTTTCTGTTTTCTTTTTAAGCTACCAGTCTAGGAAGAAGAGAAGAGGCAAGCTGGATCAGACCAAAGGCCCCTCTAGTCTAGTATCCTGTTCTAACAGTGCCAACAAATGCTATAAAGAAACATACTGCCTCTGACAGTGGAAGTAGAACAAAGCCATTATAGCTAGTCAGTGGGGGTCGGAGATCTGGAGAAGTATATGGACAGCATCTGATGAGATTTCAGAAAAGGAATGAACAGAACTTCCTGAAAGTGGGAGAAGGTAGGTTTCAGTGTCCTTCATAATCCCCACTCACTTTTTTCAGGTCTTTGCCAAACTATGCTCTTTGAAAAAATGGCTCATAGAACTGTAAAAAATGGCCAAATGAATGGATATCAGTAATATGGATATCACCATATGACCCCAAATGAACAAAACTATTTGGGGAACAAAGAACCGTTTTCCTTAATTCCCAGGAAACGTGAAAGTCCGCTTTATACAATGCATGTATGCCATACATACCTCTCTTTTGGAAGCTAGTAAGCGCCTGAGCTGGGCTGCACCTTCCTTGTGCCTCTGAGAGTGTCGTCTGTACCAGCGCTGTATCATCACAGCAGCCAAGTTGACCTGGTTAATGAACCTGAATGGGTAGAAAGTAGTTAACAAAAAGTGAGATGGTTTTCCAACCACAAATGGAAACCCTGCCATGAAGCAGGCAGAGACACACACAGAGAGAGATGCCATGCTGAAAGAGTGGCTCTTGCCTATATGGCTCCTGTTTAGAAAGAGCCCCCTCACCTTTTTTCTTCTTCTTAGAAAACAATATAAAGTCCAACGCTCGGTTCAGAGGGATATATTTTAGATGAACGTGAAAGGAAATCAGGCCCCAGAACTATTTTATGAGAGCCGATAAAATGTGAAAGGACTGACCTATCAGCTGGAAATCATCAAACGCACCTGTTAAAGCTGCTAAGCAGCAACATATTATGTACCCTTCTCTGAGCTACCATGAGGCTTCCTCTCATCCTTCTGCATAACTTGCCAACATCTCCTCTGGTTATCTCTTTTGTTGCCAGTGAATTCACGCTTACCGCTCAGCCTCCTCCTCCGATACTTCCTGCCTCCTGAGGGGGTTACTGCTACTGCTGTTATTATTGTTCCGAGCCAGGATATTGCTGCTGGAAAAGTTTTTCTGGGACTTCATGTAGCTGCTACTCTCGGTGTCTTCATTGGAAGTGGCTTTGATAATGTTACTAAGAAAACAAGACAAGAACACTTCTGTCAGAAGCATCCTCTGTATTGCTCAACGGGTTGTTAGCATGTCATACTACCCAGTGATGGACACGTGTCTATTTCCCAGAGTGTATTGATACTGTGTTTTTCTCAAGGATACTGTCCTTGGTTGACTGCCTTGGGAAAGAAAATGCTCCTCACCCACTAACATAATACATTATTCACCCCCTTTAATGACATTTTGCAAGTGTCAAGTAAGTCCTGCTAAATCACTCCTGCATTTTCATCTACGACGGCACTTGAATTGGTCAAGGGATGAGCACCAAACATGTAGTTGGGAGGGAAGAGGTTTTAAAGGAAGAAAAACCTTAGCATTTGGCGTACAATGAGGGAATCTCCTTTTGCTCATATACAGCCCGGTTGTGCGGATCATGAGTCTCTGGACTAACATTAATATGAGGGCTCTTAGAAACAACTGCAGTCTAATTTTTCCTAGCAAGAAGGTTAAAAATAAGAGATTCAGGAGCAAGTATGCTTTCATTCCCACAGCTGTGCATGTGTACCTATCTATGCCTCTCTTGTTGAAAACCACTACTCCCCCAATGGCTTGCCCATACTTGAAGTCTTGGGCAGGCTGCCAGTTAGGCCTTTCCTGGCCCCTTCCAACCAACCTATGGTGCCCACTGGAAGGATGGCTGTGAAAGAACTTACTTGAGGGAGGTTGTGGCCTGGTTGGAGCTCTTGGGCGCAGCTGCCTTGTCCGCAGTGGAGTAGTTATTATGCACCATGGTGGTTACACAGTTGCCCATTGCACCTTTGTTACTCCTCGTAGGAAAGAAGGGCAATATGTTAGCATATTGAAGGCTGTAGGCCAACATGTGCAGACTTCAATCACAAACCTTTAGGACAAGGGTGGCTAACCCACCACCCTCTAGATATTGTTAGATTCCAACTCCCATTAGAGTCAGCCAACGTGACCAATGGTCAGGGATGGTGTAAGCTGTTCTCCAACAACATCTCAGGGGCCACAGGAAAACCATTAACTGCTTAGACAGGGTTCAAAAGAAAATAGGGGAAAAATCATAATGGGGGAAAATATCTGAAACAGGCTTCCCAGGTCTTCACCTGGAAAAAAGTGTCAAGGCACCAGGCTGCAGTGCTGTCACTGTGCTTGTTGCCCTGTGACTTCACTGGTACTTCATAAATTGTCTCTCCTGTCCTCTTGGGAGCAAAATATTGCTTCCCACAACAGGTGGAAGAGGAGACTGAATGAAGGAATCAGTGGAGTGGACATGCGGTGACTGCACCCTCTTAGTGCGTTTTCAAAGGGAAAGGCACTATTACCAGGCAAAGACCTGGCAACCCTAATTTGGAATGTGAGAGCACTAAGTACAGGCTAAAGGAATGAGGCCACATGAAAGCACACTGAAGCGCAGTAGTGCTGTTCAACAACAATGAAAGCAAAAACGAAGTGGAAAGAATTGTTTTGGCTCAACCCTATTTTAGATTACAACCTGTAGCTAAAAAGAGACTGCTGTTCCTTTTCACGTGGTTGTCTCCAGACCCTACTCCATTAATACCCATGGACCAGAAATAATACAGCACCCATCTTCAGCAAAAATAGCGATAGCACAAATCCCACCAGTCAAATTTCAGCTAGACCTGGTTGCCTTTCTTACCTGTTATTTGCAGTGAAGTTGGCTGCAAGTGGCACATAGATTTCTTTCTTCCTCATGCCTGCAGGGGCCTCTTGAGTGCTGGATGGGACAGGAAATGTTCTGGGCTGCTCATCCTGCACAACATAACCAGAAATATGCATGAAAGGAAATCACTGTCATTGTATGCGGCAAGTCCTCTCCTGATACTTTTATTCTAACTCATGCAGAGAATCCATCTCAGTCCCACCGTGATTCTCACTGATACCAAAGCCTGCTGGGAGACAAACTCTAGTGGTGGTAAGTTTGTGCTGTGCTGAATGTCCCAGGATGGGACTAATAAACTTCCAAACCGGGAGTGAGAGTCAGGGGCACTGATTCTGTGTACCCAGTGTTAAAAAGCTACACAAGAGCTTTCAACCCCTCAGCTAATGACTGCTAATCCAAATTCCATACCAGGAGCCAAAGTCATTAGCACAGATTACACAATACAAAAGTATGGTAGTAGTACCATAACCCCCTATTTATTTATTTGTCTTATTTATTGGCTGTCCCATAACCTGAATTCTCCAGTAACACTTCCTTTGAACACCTTTTTGCCCCTACTTCCTAGTTCCAAGTATAGCACTGTAGTGCTAGACAGAAGCTGCTGCTTGGATACAACAGAAGAGCATCCCTTTCTCCATATCTTACTCTTAATGCTGCACTAGCATTTAGTGTCAGTGGGGAGATAGCCTGTCCTCTTGTCATGACCAGGGATGGCTGTAGCCTTGTGGCAGGGGGCAGCCTTTCCACTGCTTGTTTTTTAAGGAGAAAGCTATATCCCTGTGCTGGAGAGCACAGCACTCCTCAACAGCTGCCTATGCAAGCATATTCTACGCTGTACTCACCCCAGCAACAAGAACGACAGCTGAATGGGGGAAACACACTGACATTTGAAGGGTGGGAAAATGACCCCCGCCGCCGATGCATTAGCTAAGCAAAAGGCTTAGATCCTTTGTGACAAAATGTTTAACTGGAAAGGCTCCAGATGCCTTTGCATCTGGAATGCTTTCTGGAGCTATCTGTGTTAGCATAAGAAGGCAAATGGAACAAATCTTAGGATTCCATTGATCTGAAGCTTCTCTGGCACTTGAACTTCCTGTTATGACCTTGCCCTTACCAGGATGTTCCATGTTGTTTTCTTTTCCGGGGAGACTTTACTCAGACTTGCTAGTTTCTTTCTTCCACCTGAGCTACTTTCAAACAAAGTCAGGAAGTCTCCGTGCTGCTCCACACTGCTGAGAAGCAAAATCACATGATTACTCAGAAATCTTAGGAGTTTGGTCCATTTCCAGAAGCTGTCCACTCGGCCTGCTGAGCAAAAGGAGAACTCGTTCTCCCCCATAAATTACTACCAAGTGTCCAGGAGTAATTACAGATTGGTTTCAGTACCTTCAAGTAAATGAAATGTATAGAAAAGACAAAGAAAGAGGATTTGCAGAAGGGGGATCAGAATTCGAAAAAATTCTATTGGGAAGCAACAACAAAAATGATATCCAAAATATCCAAAATTTTATTAGAATGGGAAACTAAAGATGGGCTAGTAAAGGCCACGATGATACACTGGGGGTCGTATATCAGATATAATATTGAGTTATCAGCATAGGAAAAATTATGGAATAGGGCAATAAATTTCTTGGCATGGAAGTGTTCAAGACAGAAGGGTCTCTGATGGTGGCACTGTAAATATGCAAAAAGATTCTGAGAGATGGTATCTGAGGAACTAAAAAAAATATTTAAGCTCATTTTTCCGAAGAAACCAGAAGACTTCTTGCTAGCAACAATAGGTGCAGAGATACTAAAGAAAGTAAAAAATGTATTTCTGTATGCAACAGCAGCCGCAAGATTAGTGTATGTAAAATATTGGAAAGAAAAGATATCTCCCATGAAAGAACAATGGTTGCATAAATTAACTGAATTTGCAAGTATGGTGGCCAAAATAAGAAACTGGGATGAAAAGAAAACAAGAAATGAGTGGGATTGTCTCGAAGAATATTTGAAAAAAGATGGTATTAAGGTAAACTTTCAAGCGGGGATAAATTTATGATCTGCAGTAGAAAGCATAAGCGAACTGAAGCGAACTGAAGTGAAAATAGGATGGAAGAATCAAAGGACAAGTAGCAAACCAAAGAAAATGTAGGGTGTCAAGGAAGGTTAGATTGGGAAGTAGAAAAAAAAACTTTGAAGAGATGACATATGTATGCAAATATGCACTGGAAAACGCATCAATAAAAATTAACTTTAAAAAAAACACACCCTACTCCTCATTCTGGGGTAAACCCTCAAGAAGAAAAACAAACCAACTTCCCCAAAGAGTTCTGAAAGACATGCATGAGTGAATTAGTTTCTGCAAAATATTGCATTTCAGTAAGAAATTTATTTAGGGCTCACCTAAAGGCACCGTTCACACGCTGGTTAACCTGAGTCGTGCTATTGGATCTTCGTAAATTGTTCATAGCTCTGGAGGTGCCAAGCCCTGCATCTTCCTGAGAGAAAAAGAGACACATCAACAATGCTGAATACTTAGGGGTTGACTACCACTTGGATGGCTTTGAAACAAAAGCTTCCTCTTAGGTAGATAGAGTGCCCCATCTGCAGCCATCCCAAGATAAAGAAGGTAAGCCCTACAGGTGATACATTAGCAATGCCCCTGGAAGGCAGCTTGAAGGATGCATTCAGGGCTGCTGCCTTGTTACTGGGTGTTCCAGTGCGTGTTTCTGGTTTTTTAATGTATATTCATATTAAAAATTAAACCAGTACTTATAAGAAAAAAGGATAAGCACATTTTTATATACCGTCAAAAATTCCATCTCATGTATGATTATTTTTTCCTATGACAATTGTAACAATATTCAGTCTCAAGAAGTAGATACAGTCTAATTGTAAAATTCATTTTATTTTGCAAAGTACAGGATGAATTGAGTCTTTAAAGTTACCTTGCCCATATGATATACAAGGGGTGGGGCTGGGGATTGATGGAAAACAACCAGTCCATGTAAAGTGCTTCTAAAAAAAAAGAATTTTCTGTGCATTTAATGGTCTTGTGTGATTGCTCTGTAAACATATCCCATATGCACGATTCTGTACGCAACAATCAGAGGTCTGTGAAATTACAATTTAGTAATGCAGCCTGGGGTTAAGTTGCGTAATTCATGAGACTCAGTGGAAGTTACCTTTAGTGATAACTGTAGGCCACTTTGTCATTTAGAACCAGGAACTGTTGTCAGCTTAGACCCAATGATAATGCAAACTGATTAGATGGGCAGATGAATGTACTGATCCTTGATCTTTCCATACTCTCTAAAAGTTGCTAGCTTTCATAATGCAATCTTATTGAAAAAACGATTCCTCCAAATCCTCAATATTGTGACTGTTTCTGTCCAAATGCTTCCTATTGTTTACTACAAAATCTGTGCTTTCTATGTTCAATTTAATTTTTTTTCTACCTTTTAAATGGCAAAATCTTACATGCATTTTGTATTGTTAAAGCAGTAATGTAGGTTTAGGTTTGATAAGAAAGTATTGCATATATTTCACTTTTTCCTTTAAAAAAGCAAATCAGCCCCCCCCCCCATGGCATCAGAATTTCTGAAATTTTTTACAGCTCTAGGGTGGTTTTTGTTAACTCTGGGCTAGAACCCCCTTGCGTTATACAAACACAACAATCTTACATGGGCTGCTCTTGTTGTGGACTCTACTAAACACAGAATAAAAGAATGCACAGCATAACCAGTTAAGCTCTGTGATTAAATGAAATATGTTTAGAAGACAGAATAAACTTCCAAGGAGAGCAAATCTATTACTCCCATCCCCCAATACTCACTAGGATATTCCTCTTGGGCTTGTTTTCAGTAATGACGGAGATGGAGCGAGCAATGTGCTTGCCTGGAGAGGCACTGCTTGGGCGCTGAAGCACTTGCATGGGCAGCCCTGTAAGACTGAGATCCACACCATTGGCACTGGCACCCTGGAAAGAAGAGCTGCTACCACGGGCACTCTTCATTGTGATATGGGAACGGAGGCCTGGAAGCAAAGAAAAACACAAAGGTGAAGATGTTATGTTGGCTAGAGGAATTGCTTTCCACATTTCCTATTTTGACCTAAAGCACGGACGAAGGAATAGGGAAAACTCTTGTGAGTATGTTCATAGAACATCTGTCACTGGGCACCTGCAATATCACAGGCCAGCAAATGTCTGTGATGATCCTGTAACCATTATACACAGACCTCTCAATCTCAACAAAGGCATTTACCTTGGCGGTGGCGGCGGGGAATTACTCATCATTTCCAAGCAACCTGATATGGAAGCCGTGTGCTTCAAAACTGAAATTACCCAGTAACAGACACACTTGCTGAGTTGAACATCATCTGGATTGCATGCAACAATTTAGCATGACCTGGAAGCTGTACGCTGGCTCCCTTGGCCAATAAAGCGAGATGAGCGCCACAACCCCAGAGTCGGCCACGACTGGACCTAATGGTCAGGGGTCCCTTTACCTTTTTATGCATTCCCGATGCAAAAGCCATATCAGGCAATGCTGGTCCCTAAGTATCTAATGGCCAAACTAGAAGATACAGGGGAATCCATGCACAGTCTAGTGGATATGTTTTGTTTTTAAACCACTGAAAAACAACATCAGATTAGCAGAACATCTCAATGTTTTCTCTCCCTGCCATTTTCTGCCATAGGATGAAACCATAGGATGAAAAATATAGGGTCCTTGTAACTTTTTCCCTGCAGGAAGAACAACAGCTTGGGGAGGGTAATTTTGACTGACATGGGCCGTGAGGGAGAAATGTTATCTAAGTACTCCCTCTGCTGAAATTTGCAGCTTCCTGCCTCTACTTTTCAGTAAACAAACACACAAAACAATACAAAACATTAATGTTAGAACATGGTGTGTGCGCGCCACAGACTGCCCAGTTCTGCCCTGACATTACATCCTCCCATGCTGAACTGCCATTCTTGTTTTACAATAATATCTCCTTAGCAGCTCAACCTCTCGTAAGCAGTGTGGTGCAAGTAAGAGAAAAGCCATTACTTCATCACTTTCCCCCCTCACCCTTCCCAGTTGACAACATGTGATAAATGAACAGTTCCTGGCAATGCCAGACACATAAGAGTATATGGGCTTTCAGAAAAGGATAAGGTACAAGTGACTATGAGGCCAAGCTTAAGGATATGCATATGCATTATTTCACACTGGCCAGATTTTATTCATAAGAGCATTTATATGCCTGAACTTTGGCCCAAAGTGAGTCCCAGCAAACTAGTGCATAGAGGGGTACATAATTCTACCAGTTATAGCTTCCCATCCTCCAATCCTCTCCTAGTAAATTAATCTATTCTGATAAATGTTCTCATTTTATAACACACACACACACACACACACACACCATATTAGGTTAGCCTTACTTGATTTGTCTCTTAACAAAGAAACTGCCCATCCACACACCTATTTCCCTACAAGTGATTTCAATTGCAAATACGTTGGCCCAGGAAAGATAAACACAAACCTCTCTATGGAAACCATAGACACACACCCCATTGATATGGGTGAAGCCAGCAACTAGGCAGCTCATAGCTATTTCATTAGAGAAACAGTGTTAAGATTCAAGGCAGCAAACATGACAGGATGAAACTGCTAAAGTGTGATCAGCCTTTGCATAGGTTCAATATCATTCAAGGCGAATGAAAAGCTTCATACAATCTGTATAGTTACACAGTTTCATTGTTTACTTTTTGCTTTCATTTTCCGGTGTCTTGAAAGTTCAATACTCCTGTCGTCTGTACGACAAATTTGGCACTAAAGTACCTGAATGAGGCAATTTCAACGATGCTCCTCATAGTGGTCAACCGGATTTTAGGTATCAGCCTATTTACCCAATAACAAAGAACTTATAGTGTTCCAGTGATGCATTCTTTTAACCTGGAAGCATTTCTTATGCTTACTAGAGTAAACATAGCAAATGCAGCAAAGAAAGGATTTAGAAGGGGTTGGGGCTTGAAACCTGGGCACCTAAAATGTAATTTCCCCCCAAGCCTGATGCTATTTACATTAAATATACCTGAACTACTGTATTTGCATAAGGCTGGTACCTCTTCAAGAAGGCCTCTGTTTCCTAACAACACAAGCGAGCCTATATGAATCATGCACCCTGGAGTACACAAACATCTTGCGGCACGATGCATAGTGCTTAACACCAGATCTCACGCTGAAAAATCCAAAGGAGAGAAAACTTCAGAGCAGCAGACTAGTCCCTAAAAGGGATGCTGGAGAGACAGGATCGGGAGCACCTTTCTGGTGCCTTCCCAAAATACTAGAAACGGGTGGGGAAGAGTTGCATGTTTCTCCAGAGAGGAAGGGAAAGGCATCCAAAACAAGTTCTAGCTCCTCCTCCTTGTCACAGTGCTTTTTTAACAGTTGCAAAGAAGCACCATCCCAAGATGCAAGCTTACAAGGGCCAGGGGCTCTGCAAAAGCCTGGGGTTTTAAGCCAGCTCAAGCAGGACTCTGCAAAACAATGCAAACATGCAGCAGCCTGCAGGGTGGCGGGGTTGGGGGAGGGGGGTAGAGAGAGGATGGCCACTGTCTGCCCCCCCCCCCCATATCACATATGGCTCTCTCACACACACACACTTACCTCACGCAGGTACCCAAAAGACGAACCTCTTCCTTCTCCTCCCTCTCGCTAGTGGTTCAGGTGATGATGGCGAGAGCCGCCCCCCCCCCGGCCCCGCTTCCACACAGGCTCAGTTGGGCTGAGAGGAAGGCCTAGCCTTAAACCGAGGGGGGTTTTCTATCTACACCCCTCCCCCCCAAAAAATGGCCCCCGGAGGCGGCTGCTCCCCCCCCCACTTTCCGCCCCACTTTTATGATGTAGGGGCCTAGTCCTGCGCTGGGGTCATTCTCAGACGCAATGCCCGCTCATCCCCCGGGCCGCCCGCCTAGAGCATTATGGGAAATTCCCGCCCCCTGATGCTGAGGCTGCGACTCCAGTCCACGGCCCGGCAAAGAGAGCGAGGGAGACCAGCGGAAGACGTAGCGGCAGCCGCCGCCGCCGCCGTGAGAAGCACACGCGAACTTAGTGTGAAGGGGAGGCCCGCCTCCGCTTTGCCACGGCATTGGCCAGAGTTTGGAGAGGCCCGGCTCCTTACCGGCTGGCCGACTTGTCCTTCTGCTGGCGCCGGAGCTAGGTTGAGGGCGCAAGAAAGGCGGCGGGCGGGAGACCCGCGAGGAGAGGAGAGACGTTTGCGGGCTGTGGGGGGAGAAGCATGTAGAGGAGGAGGAGGAGGAGGGGCTTGCACCACAAAGGCGACGACCCCCGACTTAGTCCTGCAACCAGATCGGGCACTTCCTCCTTGCTGGGTCTGTTGGGTATTTCCCCCCTTCCCTCTTTCCAACGGGGGTCTCCCTCTGAACCCCGGTTGCAACTTCCAGGGATCCCCCCGTTGCCGCCTCTTGCCTGATCTAATTCTCCCCTGGCCTCCTCGCTGGCCCAAGTAGGACCAATTCAGCCAGCTAGCCCTGGGGATTATCTAATGCTTTCCCCCCCTAAATTGATTTCTGAATTTTGAATTTTATTGTTACTCATGTTTTTATACTGTATTTTATGCTGCTTTTACAATTAAATAATGCTCATAACGTGAAGTATTAAATGAGAAAGGATATTCAATGGCAGTATTGTGGGTGGATAAAAAGGTACACCAGCCCAGCAAAGGAGACCATGATCGGATGCATGAACAGACATAATTTAACTGCTCTGAGTCATCCCTGAAATTAGCATCACTTCAGCTTAGTTCTCACTGTGGCAGCAACCCTTGGCTGGGGCTGCACCACTACAAGCTAGGGCTCACTTGACTGAATGCTTTTCTATTAAAAGAAACCCACCCTGCATTTAGAAAAGTAGCAAGTTGGGGAGTGGGAGGTAGGGAAATCTTAGTTACAGTTCTTTAGAATATCAATTCTAGGCATCTGTTTTACAAAATGTAAAATTTACGCATCTTGCCCCTGGCAAGCCTTTGGATTGGAATAAGGTCCTTGGTGCTGGGAACAATCTGGATTCAATTATGTTGTCTCACGTTCAGATCAAAACTATACAGCAGAATGCTTACATTGTTTAAATAAACTTCCATTACCCTGTATACTTCCAGTACCCCTGCTGCAACATCTACCAGTGCCTGTTCTAACAGTTATTTACACTTATTCCAGAGCCAAACATTACATAATAATCTACATGCTTTTTATGCAAGGTGCATTTTGATGTTTGGAACAGCAAGAGAGTTTTTGTATTGTCATTTTTGCCTGCCAACAGGCACAGCTTATGCTTTATTCTTAACCCTGCTGGGTTAAAACAGCAAGCAATCCTGTAAGAGTTCTCAAAATAACAGGGGAAATAAGAGAGACAGGGGAATACTTAATCCACCCCATTTTGGGACAGGGCAGAACACTCTTCATACACACTCAACAGAAGCCAAACATAGTGCTGATCATAAATCTAGTGTGTGCTCTCAGTTGCAATCTGCATTCCATTGCTTGTGTTACCATGTTTTATAAAATTTCAACCCAATCCTATGCAAGGTTAGTTTTGCTTAAGCCTATTGGTTTCAGTGGATTTAGGAACACCAAACAGCATAAGTGTGGTTCTTCTCAGATACAATGCACCGTTTATTACCTCCCTCTCCAGTGAGCATCCCTATGTGCACCAAGTGAAGGAACAGCTGTGACAAATAGGGATAGTTAGAGCATTAAGAGCAAAAGAGGGAAAACAGGAGATAAGCATCAAAGCGGGATTATATTACACAGCTAGTGGGGACATTGAAAAAAGACTGGATGCAGGTGGGATGAAATGGTCCAGACCTTTGGAGTCAATGCTAGATCAAGTTGTGTGGAGGGAATATTAAAGCTGCCATCTGATACACATTTATTTGGGGGAAAGCCCACGCAAATGCAGTGAGATTTACTTCTGAGTAAACATGGATAGGATCAGATTGCAGCTTGCCTGTTTCTGGCTTGCCTCAAGGCAGGGTGACCAATAGATTTGAGGGTCCTGATTAAACCAAGAAATAATATGGATCAGTTACACATTGGTTGCCCAGCAAAATGAACAAATACAGCACAGCACAATTAATAACAGGCCAGCACCTTGAGTGCCAGACAGATTCCACTTAAGCAGTTCAACCTTAGGCTTGATGAGAAGAGGGTGTACTTTCTATAAAGGACTTTGTGTACACACACACACACACACACACACACACACACACTCCCCCCCAAATCCCTTTCGGAGTGGTTGATAGCACACAAAAGTCAGGGCAGGTGTGCTCTCAGAGGGAAAAGTAGTATGCTTTTTAAGAAATGGCAGCTGCGCCATCAATGCTAATGAGAACTGAATCTTCATCAAGTTAAATGCTGCAGAACAAAGAGGCCTTTACATTCTTTTCACATGGATTCAGAGTTGCCTGACCTGCTCAAGGGGTCACATTTCCCTAAAGCAATATCACTTCTGGCTGGAAATAACCAGACTCTCCTTATCAATAAAGAGGAACCTCACTAAAACAATTCTAGTTCTACAAAAGAGCCAGAACGCAAGACCAAATCATTGGTCCATCCATTCAGCATTTTGACTGTAATGGTACAGCTTTTAGTTATTTTGTGCGTAGCCAGTAAACAACAGTAAAGCAAGCCCTCTTCTCGCCCATGCCAGCCCATTTGCAAGGGATATAAATATATATATGCATATTTGAAAAAGGGCAACTGAGTACAAAGTAAAGGGGAAGGCAGACAGCTAGTGGTAGATAAAGTTAAGCAAGGGGGCTAAACATGGCAAGAACAGAAGCCAGGCTGCCTAGTTAAGGTACTGGGTCAATTACTGACCAAAGGGAAACAGAAAGTCGTGCCATATAATAATGAAGATCTCGGAAGTATTTTTCTAGTTTTAGATTATTTCTCCTTTGCCGCAAATATTGAGCCTGTCCTTGACCAGTAGCTCACAGAGGGAGATGTTTTAAAACATCTTGTACTGTAAAATGATCCTCAGTTACTAATGGAAACTGCAGATCTGGAGAATGTGTTTTGTTTCGTGTACATTTTAAAGAACCTGACTAAGGTTAATCCTGGTCTCTAGAGTTTCAACTTTTTTCTTTTTTTGTAAGGGGCAAGTGTAAGGTATGGCATTCTTCATATAAGCCAATTCTAGACAGGGCGGACTGCAAACATCAGTAACCCACTGACATGGTGAAACCCCAGCTAGAACCCCTGTTATCAGGAAGCCACTGTTTCTCAAAGGGAGTTGCTGGAAAAGTAATTGTTAACTTGGCAGGAAAATTCATCACAATGCATTTTCCTGTGAGAAAGGTGGTTGCATTAATGTTGTGGGGACCTATTGGAAGATCCCTGTGACGTCACCAGCCGCTGTGGGTTGCATCCAACAAAATTGTCCTGTTCATGCAAGGACTTCTGCTTGCACTATACAACTGCACCTCCCTCTCCCTGACCCCATGCTATCCAAACCTGTCCTGTGATTCCCCCAATGCTCTGGAGCAGATGGGAGTGCATAGAACATGGGGAGGTTCTATTTAACTTTGGTGAAAACACCTAAAACCATATTATCATATCTCTCCCTCCCCCCCATTCAATTTTTAAGTGTCTGTCAATAGTTTGCCCAGGGCTCCTTAAAAAAACCACACCAAAATCATTCTGAGTGTAGATGATGACTTGAGAAACATATCTACTAATAGCTGCAGCAGTTGTTGACTATGAAAATGACCTCACCATTAGCTCTCCTTCAGTTATTGGCACGACAGAATCAGAAGCGCCTTAGTGTTTGCCAGTGTTCTTTAAGGCTGCCTCATTTCTTATGGTCAGAATCCCAAGGTAACAAGCAGAGGACGTAGAAAAACAACAACATAAAAGTGGAAACGGATTTTAAATTGAAAAGGGAAGAGTAAAGGGGGTATTTCTGTCACTTCTGTAGCAACCAGGTATATGAAAACAGACTATATTGTGGGTGTTGGATTGTGCTTTTGTTGTTCAATAAGAAACACTGAAAACAATGAAATTAAAAAGGCAGTGTTGATCATTCATGTCTTCCTTTCATGCTTGCAATGACCCAGCAGAAATAAGAGGTGTAGCGATGGATGTTGCCTCTTCCCCTCTTTCGGGAATGAAGAACAGCAGCATAAGAGAATAGCATCCTCTGGCTATAGGCAGGTGTGTAACAGTTCAGAGAGAGCTAGAAAAACGCATCCATTTGGTGCTATCTCAAGCTGTCCCATAGCCCAAAGGGAACTGCTATGCATTGAGGAAGGAGAAAGCAGACGGTCCCTGGTTATCCTCAGTGGCTCTGGTGCTCCCAGTGCAAGGTGCTGTCCAGGGAGCTGGAGGTATACATTCCTGCTCCAGAGCATCTGCTAATATCATGCTTGAGGGTGCGACCAGCTCCATGCCGGCAAACAAGGAAACTGTGCCATCTGGATCACCTCTTGGAGGCCTGTCCTCTTGGGGTTCAGGGTTTGGGAGTCGGCATTCTGGCCCTCGCTGGCCAAGCTCAGGTGGTTGGCTAATTCCAAGTTGGCCAGAGGACCCAGGTTCCAGCATCTGCCCTTCTGATGGATGCACAGCCCTGGTGAGGACTTCAGGTACTTGGGAGGGCTGTGGCACGAGACTCAGGGGTTTGAGGATAGCCTCTTCTGCAAATGGCATTGTATCCGCCAGTAAGTCATCAGGACGCTTGGGTGTGGCCCTGGCAGGGGCACAGTGGCCGGGAACCGGAGAAGAGGTCTTGGAAGTGGGATGGCTCCTGCTGAGTGCTTCAAATTGACGCAAGATCTGTTGAAAGTGGGGCAGAAGAGAAAGAGAGAGTGTGCCAAGTATGAGAAGAATAGTAGCAGAAGCAGGGAAAGGAGGACTCTACCCACCACAAGAAAAAGAGAGAGCAAGAGAGCCTAACAACAGGCAGAGGACCAATAGCAACTCCAACCCAGGCTAGTGAAAACACTTCCACCCCTCCTTGCCGCATTCACTTTTACTGTGCTCAAGGGTCTGCTTTCTTGAGTTTCTGTTTGTATATCTTGCTCTTCCTTGCAAAGCTCAGAGTGACTAATGCAGGGCATGGGGGACCTTTTCCAGGCCAAGGGCTGCATTGCCACATGGGCAGGGCAGCCTTCCAGGGGCCACAAACCAATGGTGGGGATGGCCAGAGGCAAAAGGTTGGTGGAGCAATTCATGCAATTCTCGCCTTTGTACAATGAAAGTACCTAGAGGTTGTGACACACCAGCCACCACATCTATCCTTCCTCCACCCAAGCAAGCAAAAGGTTATCATCCCAGTTCAAGGGCACAATTTAGCCAGGCAAAAGCATTCCAGGAGACCATGGAGCAGGGCTAGTGAAGGGTACAGCTGGGTTTGGGTACAGAGGCTTGGAGGGCTGTGTCTGGAACCTGGGCCTGAGGTTCACCACCACTGGATTATTGTGAGAGGCCTAGTGCTTCCCTCCAGGCAGAGATCAGGTCTTAGTTTCAACAACGCTATCAACTTTGGGCAGAAACTACTGTGTTCTCCCACTGACTCTTCGATGCCTTGTTCTCAGGCAATCTTGAAGAGCTACTATAGCAAGGACATTTATTTATCTAAAAGATTTTAAGTCTCCTTTCAGGGCACATGGACCTCCCCAGGCAGCTCATAAGGATCCGAAGCATGTGGGGGGGAAACCCAAAAGAAACCCAGTGAAATATTTTTTTCAAGTACAGTACCAATTCAGCCAAATGCAGACCTGAAGAAATGTGTTTTAGAGTGTTTTCTTTAAAAAAAAGAGAGAGCGAGATCAGCAGTAATGACATCATATGTTCTAAAAGTCTGGGGCTACCACAGAGGAAGTCTAACCTCCCGGACCCACCAGCCTAACAGCTCTCGACAGCAGAGCCTCAGACACTGATCTCAATGCTTAGGCAAGCTCATGCAGCTGTAGGTAAACTTTCAGCTAGCATTGTCTCAAACTATTTAGGGCTACTTTTTAAAGGGCAAAACCAGCACCAAATGTTAGCACCTGAAATGAATGTAACCAATGGAAGAAGATAAGCAGCAACATGTCAAGGTTGAAGGTTCATTCCCCATATGGGACAGCTGCATATTCCTGCCTTGAAGGGAGTTGGACTACAACTCAGGGTCCCTTGCAGCTCTACAATTCTTTGATTCTGTGATCCAGCACCCAGCTGCCTCAGATGTTCTAGCAGCCATGCTCTGCAGTAGTTGTAGTTTCCAAACTACCCTAAAGGGCAGCTCCGCATACAGCACAGCACAGTATCTAATAGGGGTGTAACCAAGGCATGCACAACTCTGGCTAGGTCAGATTTCTCTAGGCAGATGATTGTATCATCTCCATTAAAGCCACGATGCACAAGCTGTAGAACCTAAATTAGGTTACGTGCACTGCCAAAAAGCAGGCAAAAGTCTCCCAGAGTGCACCAGAGGCAGTACGAAGGGAGATATTCCAGTCTTGGTCTACTGAAACAAGTGAAATGGAGCAGTAACAAAGCTACGTACAGAACCAGCCACTTTATGTCCACCCACACAATCATGCCCAGTGTGCAGAAGGAACAAGCCCAGCAAAACAATGAAGAGCCTGGGGAGGTTGTAGCCAGGGCTGCTGCAACAAACAGGTGTGCAAGCCTTTGGGAGGCAGAGACACAAGAGGGCATCAGAGGAGGGAGGGACAGAGGCCATTGTTGCCCGTGGTACCAAGGACTATCATTCAAGACACCCCAGGGTGTCACGGCACACTGGTAGAAAACCATTGGCCTACAGTTATCCCTCGCCAGGGTGGGACTGATGGGGCGCCCCTTGAGGATTTCAATACACAAAAGGCGGAAACATAAGCAGGAGTTACCTTTGTTGCTTTGTTGGCTACAGGCCCAGGGCTCTCTTGACTGAGCTCTTGCAAGTGCTGCTGGGTAATGGCCAATATCTGATCATGGGAGAGCAAGTCGGAGCACATGAGGGAATAGATGGCACACATGGCTCTCTGTGGGGGGAAAGGAAAGCAGCAGGGTTAAGAAGACCCTGGGTTTGCACACTGGGTCCAGCTTGAACAGCAGCACTAATTCGGGCCTCTCATAATATGTTGCTTCACTGGAAAGAAACAAACCGAAGCTGCTCTTGCTCCACAGCCCACCCTTATGTGGCAAGAAAAAAAATATTAGTCCTAGGCTCCGACCCTCAATGAGATTGCAGCCAGCCAGCCCCCCCCCCCCCCAAATCTGGCCAAAGAGTTCCATTTCCCAACAGCTATTTCAGCTCTGAGTTGGAAGTAATCCGGACTGTTTTTCCCTCCACAATTGCTTTTCCAGGAGACTCACCATGCAAACACACTCGCTGGGGTCCTTCAGGGTTCGGTTGAGGATAGCCAAGACCACTTCGCAGTTCAGCAGCCCACACCTACGGAGAGGGACAGTGCTAAGTCCAACAGCCAAACCAAAAAAAAAAAAAAAAAAAGGGAGAAGAGAGCAGGGAGAAGTTTTGCAAGGCAAGGGGGGGGGGAAAGAGTGGCCTGGTCTCTCCTGGACCTTCCTTGCTCTCCTAATCCAAGAGGGGCAAGGAGCGTCAAAGCACCTTTTTTACATAGCTAATGGACAGTTCTTCACAAATGAGGCAGGTGGGGGGGGGTAAGAAATACATTAAGGAGTGGCAAGCTGCCAGCTGTTCCTATTGCTAATGAATGTTGCAACAGGCACCATTTGTCTCAAGTGCACAAGTGCTTGGGCCCAGATACAAAACAGATGCACAGCCATGCAAGGACTAGGGCTGGGCTATGGGTGGAATTCAACATTGCATTCTTTCTATTGTTCCATCTGCACAAAGCATTGCAGTTTGCCAGGTGGAACAGTCCTCCCCCCCGCCCTTCGCCTGTACGCTGGTTTCTCCTGCTACCTCCCGCCCCCAAATCCAATTTCAGAGGGGCATGGGGGGCAGGAAAGAGTCTTGTTGCTCCAGCAAAGGTCCTCACACAGGGCTTCTGCTGAGGGAGCTGGTCAGGAGAATGCTACCCGATGTGTTTGGGTACTTCTACAGTAATGCAGAAGAGGTGGAAGCGAGGAGGAGAAGGGTCAAGAGACGGCTTGGTTAGAAAGGGTGTTCATACTCCTTGATAAAATGCTGGGTCTCCTCGCGTGTCAGGAACACCTTGGAGCCTCTGGTGAGTTTGCTGACGAGGCTCACTTCCTGCAGGCAGTCCCCAAGGTTCTCAGCATCTGTCCTGTGAATGGTGGGGAGAAGGAAGCTGACAAGCCTGTTCTTTCTCCCCCATGCCCCACAAGAGATTCTCACATACGGGTGCATCTTGAAGGTGCAAGCAGTTGGCCCAGGCCCATTCCCAGCCACTTGCCCTCCCCAGCTCGCTCACCTTTCAGCAATGCTCCCTGGCTCCAGAGCACCTGAGTGGTTGTCGCTGCCCGACTTACTGTAGGAATCCGATGTCCTACTCAGCTCACTGTTCTCCTGCAAGGAATTCTGGGAGCTTTGCCCACTGTCCAGCTCCTCCCAGCCACCTCCTGCTAGCCCTGGCTGATGGGTCACTGCAAAAGAATTTCAGAGGAGCAGCCATGGAGGAAGAACTGAAGCCCATCGCATCTCAGAAACTAAGTTCAGGGAAGGCATCTGCACACCACTCCCACTGTATCTCAACGCCAAAAAACTACAATCCATAACCAGAGATTCATCAACTTGCCTCCCATCCCCAGAGCAAGATCTGGGATAATAATTTGTTATTAACACTCCCAGTACGAGCAACATGACAAAGGATTTTGCTTCAATTACAATATTATTTTGCACCAGCTAAATATTATTGTGCACCAGCTAGTAGACAGTTGTACCCTAGAAGTGGCTTCTTTTATTCCACCTCACTAATGCAGGGAAGCTCTAAGTGCCTAACATTTGCTCCTCTTTCTATAAGGTTTCTATACAAGTTTTGAAAACAGGATATACCATGCTTTATAAGAGCACAAGAAAAGCCTGCTGAACGGGCCAGTGGCCCTTCTAGCCCAACTTCCTGTTTTCACAGTGGCCAGCAGGATGCTCACAGGAAGTCCAAAAGCAAGACCTGAGCACAAACAGCAGCACTCTACCCACCTGCGATTCCCAGCAGCTGCCATTCAGAGGCACTTACCTCGCTTCTTATGGACAATGACAGAAGGTGGCTTTGTAGGCAAGACAGAGCTTTTGCCTGGAAAAGGTGCTGTCACTGGCTCGTAGGCATCATCCTTCAGCTCCCTACCATGGGGACAAGGGAGCTCCTGACCAGGGAGCATGGCATTGGCAACCACCTCCGCTGCCTTCTGGATGGTGGCCAGCAGAACCTTGCCAGTGGATGCTGCAACAGTAACAAAGGTCAGGGCAGGTCAGGGCATAGTGGTTTGTCAGCCTATACCACAAGCAGCCAACGTGGTGCCCTCCAGACGTTGTTGGACTCCCAACTCTCATTGGCCCTGGCCAACATAGCCAGTGGTCCAGAAATGATGGCGGCTGCGATCAAGCAACATCTGAAAGTTGTTGGCCACCCTGGGTCTATACCCTATAGACACTGAGAAAACCACAGAGCACAGGAAGAAACCTTCCAAAGGACATCAAACCATAGCCATTAATTCTGGAAAGAGAGCCCAAGAATGGATGAGTCCAAAACCGCTGAAAGAGGCTTCCTCCACTTATACCAGCCTTGGATCTTCAAGATACTAGGATATGTTTGGTTGCTGACATTCCTCTTTCTAGAGGAGGAGAACAATGCAGCCCTAAGGTAGCATCGCTGGCTGTTTCCATCCAGTAGATGAAAGCTTCATGCAGGAAAAGACTTGGGTCCCTCCTTTCAGTACCTTCATTTCAGGGCCTCAAGTTGCCCTTGCCTGAACTATGTTGGCCTTCTTTACAGTGCAAATTCTCAAAGTGGCTTAGAAGCCAAGAGGAGAGCTATTGGCAGGTATCACATAGCACTGGAGCAGGGGCTGAGATCCAGCATGCAGGCAGCATGGTGACCTTGTCCCAAGAACTGGGGGTGCTCCTCAAGGACAGTAGTGGTAACACTCAAGACTTCCAAACCCAATGCTTACCGGAGCCACTTCTTTCAAAACCAAAGCCTTGGAGTGAGCCATGGGGGCTGGGCCTGGAGCCCATTCCTGGGAAGGGAGGCAATAAAACGAGCATAAATGAAAAGCAAGACCAGTATGGTGGTGGCATGCTTATTTCCTACCAGCAAGCATATGCTATCACGTCAAGGTGAGATGGGAAGTCAGCATGAACAGCCTATTGACATGGGAAGTCTTAAGTTGCTTTTGAGTACGGCTTTCCTTTCGCACCAACAGAACATGCAAGGGTTGGGTGTGCTGTGTCCTTATGATAGACAATAGTAGCTTAAAAGGTCCCTTTTTAAATAGTTGCACATGAAAACCAGATTCCATACTGAAGTTTTTATCTCAACCGCCTCATAAAAGCACCAGGGATATTTTGCTCACAGGCAAGTGCTAGCTGAGCCTTCTGGACTTAAAAAAAATAAAAAAATGGTTTCAGGTCAAACAGTATGAACAGGGGGAGATTCCAAGGCCCCGTTTGCATCTCCCCCTACTTCAGCATTCTCACTTGGCCATAAAACGAGACCTGTGGTTCACTCTGTTCTCCTGGAATGCTTGAGAGAGACAGTGCAGGTTGTTCTTGTCCTCCTGGGCAGGAAGAGCTGGACAGAGTGTCCTTTTTGAGGCCAACAATCTGCCACGCTCCCTCTCTCAATGCAAGCTAGTATGGGGGCAAAACAGGAAGAAGCAGTGCTGGTTGAATCCCCACTGAAAGGTCTGTACAGACAGGACAAAAAGTGAAACGCTCCGTTGAATACGGAAGTGAACTGTTGTTTTGAAAAAGTGCAAAAGGTTTCGAAACCTGCAGGACCAGAGATTTACAGAAGATTGGAAGAAATATACGAACTATATGAATAGCAAATATAATCAACAAATTACGCTAGTAGGACTACAAGAAGTTTTGTAAGGAGAAATATATATGAAATATTGCAAAGTAGAAAAAGAATAGAGATATTAGTTATGAGATTTAAATGTAATAGTGAAAGTGAGAAATGTAAATTAAGTGAATAGATTTGAAAATTTCAGATGTGATTGATGGAAGTCAAAAAATTGTATAAGATATAAAAGTATGTTTAATTATTGTTGAAAATGATATGTTAAAAAACTAATAAAATTTTATATATAGAAGTGCAAAAGGATCCAAGGCTTTTCAGGAGGAGTCTGGATGCTGAATAGATTTCTGTTCCCCTGGGGAGTAGCGGTTTACCTGTTGAAGGCAGCTCTTTAGGTGGAATAGCAACAGGCTGGGGTAGCAACACATCTGAAAACAAAGCGCTTGCCAGGTCCTGCAAAGGAAAGAAGTACGCTAGCAGCAACCAGGTGAAGAAGCCAGGCAGAAAGCCTACCATGTGAAAGGACTTTAAGAGCCTACCCAGATCTCTTCTGCCCAGGACTTTTTACTCACCTGTGCAGTCACCCGCACCTTCTGATACAAGCTGTTGCCATGGAGAGGATCAGGAGGCCCTGCAAACACTGCAAGGCAGAGGAGCAGGTGTGAGAGAGGGGGTCATCCCTGGGTGCCCTAAACAAGTCAGGTTTCCTGGGGCCCACTCCCTTGCACAGTTCCCAAGACCAACTGTTGGGTTGATTAATTTCACTGTCTCTCAGCAACAAAAAACCGCCTATGCAGTACTTTACGGTGCTAATATTCCCAACATCGAGGACTGGCCCAAACAGAAAAAAGACATGTTTATCCACAGTATCTTGCATTATATTACGTGGCAAAACAAAATATATAAAGGAGAGATATTACAGTACAATTATGGTGCGTGCCTATAAAAATGCCCCCAGAAATCCAGTAATGCAAGAAAACTCCTTGAGAAGTGAACTGTTGGAGGAACAGTTACCTCTCAATGAGTTTTCTTGCATAACATGAATTTCTAGGGCACTTTCTTTCTGAATTTTTATGGGCACTTTTATTTCGGTATTTGTTGAAAAGTGGAAAGTGTTGCATAGGTCCATTTCATCATTTGCTTTAGTTATCAATAATAATAATAATAACAATAATAATAATAATTTATTTATACCCTGCCCCAGCCACTCTGGGCGGCTTCCAATAAAATATTAAAATACAGTAATCCATCAAACATTCAAAGCTTCCCTAAAGAGTAAAATGCAATAATAAATAATAACTCTATATTCGGTGGAATGTGGGGAGAAATCATCAGTTGTGATAATCTAGGTCGGGCCCCATACTCTGGCCATTGGAGTTCAGAATAAACCCTGCACTTAAGAGCACAGATATGGAGCTAATATAGATTACGTTTGGCCCTTAAAGTGTTATATGAATATTAGGAAGATACTCTTCCTTGTTTATCAATATAGCCAAGCCACCACGTGTTGCCTACCAGTGGCCTCCTGGATGAAGGAAGCATTCCGCTTCAGCTGCAGAAGGAAATATGAAGAGCCATGGCTGCACATGTGGAGCAGGATCTTGAGCACCTGAGGATGCAGAGGGGAGGCTTAGCTGGGATTAGGAGTACTGGGCTGGAAATCCACAAAGCAAAGGGAGTTGTCTCAAGATCTAAGGGCATCTCTGCTCACCCTTTTCCTCTACCCTCTTTCAATTACCTTCAACTTGACATTACACGAGTTGCTCTGAAGGCGATTGAGGAGGTACTCAAGAAGGCAGTGACTGCTTCCTGCTGACTCATGTGAGATCTCTGGAAGTTTGTGCTGTTAAGGAGCCAGGAAAGTAAAGGGACTGATGGTGAAGGATCACCTGGAAGGTCGTGCCAGGCCCTGCCCAAGGTGCCATGTTTCAGCTGCTGTTTATGCCACACTATGATTTGACTTGTACTCTCCTTCAGCAGAGTAAGAAATGTTATTTGCTTTTGGCATATAGCAACAGTGGAATTTTCTTTTTAAAAAAAGTTTACATGCAGATCTGAAACAATTACACTTGCTGGAGATATGGTTTAAAGTATGGGTGAAGTATTAGGAAGGGATAGGAAAGCATGTGCATGTATCTGGAGGGGGGCTGGCTCCTTATCTACCCCACTCTCTGCAGTCCACATTTGATAGGTGGGCGGGGCTGTCCACTTGTCAATCCTCCAATATCTCCATGCCATCAAGTCACTCATTTTTGCCTGCATGGACAATCAGCTGATTGTTGAGCACATCACTTTGCAAGCCCTGACAATCAGATGATAGTTGGGGCTTGCAAAGTGCTGTGTGCAGGTCTTTGCAGGTGCTGCCAATCACCTGACTGGCTATGTCTGAAAATTCCCTTTGGCCCACACTATATATGACACAGTGTATATGACATCAAAGGTAGCTTGGTCAAAATAGCCTCATGAACCAAATAGGGAGGTCTGACGAGCCTAATTGCCATAGGTTCCCCCAGAGCATCCCTGTTCTAGGAATCCGAGTAGCTTAGTAAACACTGCTGTTTTCTACGTTTCTTATTTTTCATACCAGAATAATCAGCTAACACAGATGTCACCCAAAAGGCAAAGAAGCAATTTGTATTGAGCTAACTTCTGCTTGAATTAGTTTCCACGTCATTAGATAGACCAGGCCTCTGTTCTAATCACTAGCCTCTGCTCTTCCTAGGAAAAGCAAGCATCACAGTAACCAAATGAACCCCCCAGTTGAGACCAAAGAGCCAACTCTTTCAGAGAGCAAAGGATACTAGCCATCTCTTCAAACAGATACCCTGGGCATGGGACTTCATCATCTGAGGTACCTTTGATTAGAATGGGTAGCTGGAACGGGACGGGGGGAAGGGAAAGAAAGAAACACACAAAAAGAAAAGTCACTGAGACAAATAACGCGGCACCTTCTCAAAAGGCAAGAATTGCATTTTTTGTCCCTGCATGCTACTCCTGATTCGATCCATGAAGCTGCAGCTAAGGAAGTAGTATTTCCCCTCGCAAACCCACAGCTCCACTTGTAGTCTGCATCTTCTCTCCGGTAAAGAAAAGGTCTGCTTAATCTCTATTGTCAGAGTATTTCATAGTGCTGAACTGAGGATGCTAAAGACACTATTTTGTGTCTTTAGGCAAGGTAACCTGGATATAAGTTGTTCAGAGCCCTGTAAATCAACACAAGGTTCATTAATTTCAACAGGTTGACTGAATAGAACGTAGTTGGGTACAACCAATTATGTATGGATTTTATAATTGATTTCATAGTTGTAAACTGCTTAGAAGCCATTTTGGCATATGTGGCATATAAAGTAATACTAATACTACTAATGATGTATCTGCTCCAGATACAATTTTCTGGTGCAGCAACTGGTCAATGTAATGAGACTTTGTATTGTTACTGAGGTAAACATTCATCCATAAAGCTTTCTTTTTTCCCATAACACCTGAACTGCAGGATTTACAAGAGCTCCCACCCCAATTTCAAGCTGTGTGACCATATTACAGCATGGGGGGCCCTGACGACTCAGCAACTTAGAAACAACTAGCACAAGTCACGGTTACAAGGATGGAACAAGACCAACTCATACACTAGTCCTTCTTGGGGATGATGACAATTACATCACAGTATTATACATCTCCACCCCATTAATCACTTCATGTGGCGCAATTGTGAAGTTCTCAAAACAACCGAATCTAGTCTTACTATCAAAGCTAAGACTCCTACATGAGGCAAACATATATTGCAAACCTGGAACGTATGTATTTTTCAGTGCTAAATTAAACCCTGTGCAGGCCCCTAGGCAGTCGAAATCTCGCCCCTCCCCTGGCTCTACCAGGATGATATTGAACTAAGAAAGCTTGATTGTAATTTTCTTTCAAGATCAAACCAATATCATTTTGATCCGTAGTCATGGGGCCCCTAGGCCCGTGCCTACTCTGCCTATTTGGTAATCTGGCCCTGGGAGTTTTGACTCTCTACCTCAAAGGAAGATGCTTTTGTATAAAGATTTCATCGCTATAACTCTCAACCATTGTGCTATAAGGCTTAAGCCCCATCAGTAACTGCAATAGAATAATCTGGTGAAGCTCCTCACAAAGGTCGCATCAGTTCGTTGTGCAAGTGCTGTATTAGTGGGTGCTCCCTCTTTTTCCTTTTCCAAAAGAAAAAGAAACTCCTTTCATTAATGGTGTCAGGGGAAAAGGGTTCCCTGCCGAGCTTTTCTCCCGCAAGGTGTATTTCCAAACCCAGAGATTTTAAATGGAGCAACATTGACAAACTGGCACCCCAGGCGCTCTTCCCCACGGCACCCCCCCCCAAGCTCCCTCTCAGCAGCGCGTTCTCCCTTCTATACCCGGCTCAAGAAGCTCAGCCGATCCCGCAGAGGTACCGCCGCCATGGCAATTTCCGAGCCCGAGCATGTGGAAGCTTCACCGCCTCGCCTTCCGGAACTTGACGCGCTCCAATCGGACGGCGAGCCTGCGCTGGCCTAGCCAATCCAATCCTTCGGCGAGCGGGAAGTAGCTGTCACAGCCGGACGCCACCACCCGCGGTAAGGGCGAGAAACGTTCTACGCCATCGGACGTAGCGGCGGCCCAATCAGGACGAGGCATAATGGGGCTGCGGTTCACTCCAGAGATCTTTGGCGAGTTCGGCCCGCGGGGGCCAATCAGCGGGCGGCGGAGCTCGGCTGGGCCAATGGGAGCTGCGCCGCGGAAGGCGCTGCCGTGGTGATGTCTGCGGCCGCCCAGTAGCGGCCGGAGGGTTGCTGGTTGCCGCCATGTCTAGCCGAGGAGTCTGGGGTCGCGTCCGGGAGAGGCTGCAGCGCTTCCCCGAGTTGCTGGCGGGTTGTGGGGAGCAGGTACGGGGCTGGCCCGCCCCCTTGTCGTCATGGCAACGACACCCTTCTCCCTCTCTTCCACGCCCAGGGGACACTTTTCATTGGGAGAGCTCAGCGATGCACGTGTGTGTGTTTAAAGTAATCCTTACAGCAAAAGATTAAATCAGATGTAATTTGTTGTCGATCTGATAAAAATCTGGGGTGGGGGTGTAAATGATATTTATTGGTTTTCCAGATTTTTAACAGACCCACGCCAAATTACATCTGATTTAATCTTTTGTTGTAAGGATTACTTTATTTACTTTTTTTTTAATTTTGGCCAAATAATAAAGTAATCCTTACAAGTCTGCAAAGTAGATCAGTATCAGCAACCCCACCATGGGCGTAGCCAGGATTTTTGTTAGGGGGGGAGGCAGAACCGACGTGATTTGGTCAGTTATTTCTATTGTTTTACTTGATCTAGGGGGGCAGCTGACCCTCCCAACCCCCCTTGGCTATGCCCCATAGCTGTCAACTTTTCCCTTTTCTTGCAAGGGAATAAGGGAATTTCCCTTTAAAAGGGGGAAATGTTGACAGCTATGCTACACCCATGAACCCCACAAGTGCCACAGGAAAGATCTCAGGCGAAAAGGCTGCCCGGGGTGGTGGGAAGACGTCCCTCCCCGCTGTATGTGAAAGGGAGAGCTTTGAAGGCATGGACAGAGCTTTGAAGGCATGGCTGACAGATCAACCAATCCATGCTTCTTAAGCGCTGCTTGGCGCCGCTTCAGTCAGGGTCTTGCCCACGTTCCTGCAAGCTTTTCGCACGCACCACACACCCGTTGCATTCCCTACCTGCAGAGAGTCTGCCCTAAAAATCTGAAAAAGAATGGCTAGGTGTTCTGGGCTTAGCCCTCAAGAAACCAGCAAGGTTGAACAAGTATCTAAGTGCTTGTATATTTAGATATAGCATCTGACTGGGACTGATCTTTGCAGGCCTCTGTGTACGGCAAGTGCGTTGCCTCCAAGACGACAGGCCACGGGGACCTGAAGAAGGATGCTTGCGCCAAGGAATTTGAGATGCTGATGGACTGCTTCACGAAGAGCGTGAGTCACTTGCATCTCCTTAACTTCGAGAGTGAGGCCAGCATCTTTATTTAGTGCTGCCCTTAGGCTGTGGACTACTACAGAATAAGAGAGCTAGGTCTCCCTCCTTTTTTTATGTTCCTGGAGCTCTAGAGCTGGGTCAAGTAACCCCTTTTCAGCTCAAGAGCTGCATTCCCTTCTGGGCAGTCTTCAGAGGGTTGCATGGCAGTGGTGTGCAGAGCCAGAGTGTGTGTGTGTGTGTGTGTATATATATATATATATATATGAGGAGTAATTAATGTAAATTTTACCTTTGTACCTAGGCTAGGTTCTATGCCCCCCTCCCCATCATTCTCTGTGTCTTTCATCCAGGTATTTTCAGAATTCAGTGACAGATTCCAGCCAGGCCAGAACACGAGTAGAGTACAAGGCAGGGTCAGTGAGGGGCATGGCCTGGGGAGCAGTCCAAGGGCCAGATAAGAGAGGCTTGGAGGGCCACATTTAGCCCCAGGGCCTAAGGTTCACCACCCCTGCTCTAGGGGGTCTTATTGAGTAACAACCTAAGTAATTGCTATTCACCAGCTTGGGAAGCTTCCTTAAGCCACAGTTCATCCCATAAAAGTAATATGCTGCTTTGAAAGACCTTTCTGCAAGGATGAGAACTGAAAATTTTGCACACTCACATTAACGGGAAGTAGTTCTTTGCTGCTATTCTCACAGCCACCAAATAGGATACTGGGTGAGTTCAGGGACTGGAACCTGTGGCCATCCACGTCTTGTTAGTCGCAACTTCCATCAGGCCAAAGCAGTGGTCACGGATTATGGGAGTTGTACAACACTGGAGTGCCATAGGTTCCCCTTTTCCTAAGCTTGTTGTGCTTCTGGCCTGTTCTGCGAGTATCTTAACACTTTGGAGGCTTGCCTCCACACTTGTGGCAGAAGAGGAATACCATGGCACTTCTGTAGCATTTTCACAGCCCTGTAGCATTTTTTTATTATAAGGAAACACCAATTCAGAGTTGAAATCTGAGAGTCCATGTAGCCTATCTCTGAAAGCATTAATGTTTCTCATTTGGTATATAATAAACCATATTTTCTATTTAGCACAACTGGTGCTAGAAATGCCCATGGCTCCGCATATATCTACTATAGAGTCTGAATTCACTACTAGCCTCTATGATCAAAGGGCCTGCTATCAGAAACATTCATTTCATGTCTTGCAGGATGGGGAGTTTTGACCAAAGCAGCTGCTAAAAAGCAGTTTGTGGTCTTTAAGAGAAACTATTTGCATTAGCCTTTGCCAAGCTGTTTCCCTCCCAATGTTTTGGACTACAACTCCCATTAGGCTGTGCTGTTGTGCTGATGGGAGTTGTAGTCCAAAACATCTGGAGCTCAGATGCATAATTGCAAGGATCTTTGCATGGTAATTACAGGTATCCTGCTTTAAACTGGAGTTTAGCATATTGGAGTCGCCCATCAGAAGAGGAAAGGGTTGGCGTACTCCTTTTTTTGAGATCACGTTTTATGGTGCAGCATATATATCAACAGATACTTACATAATCCTTAATTAGTGATATGAATCCTAGTGACAATGACTCATCCGAATGTATCATCATTTACAGGCAAAAAGGAATGTAAAGTGAAGTACTGAAGACACACAACTGACTGCAAACCTGGATTTATAGTTGTTGTTTTTGTGCTTGATCCACCCATATTGTACCAAGGAGAGAGATTTATTTTTTTTAAAAAAAAATAAAGTTTGCAATATATGCAGATCTATGGCTGTTCAAATTACACACGTAAACAAGCTTTGTTCAGAACTAATTTTTCTAAGACCCAGTGCATCTGGGTTTTTGATTTAAATATGGTGTAAACATGTCTGATACACAGTTTGGGGTGGGGCAGGGAGCGAGCAAAATACTACATCATGGACTGGAAGGCATGGAAAGACTATTCAATCAACCTTTTGCACTACAAGAGGATCCCCGTTATAGCCAATCTGATTATGGAAGTGCTGCAAGCAAGAAGGGCATGATAAAATTGCACTTTTACCAGAGGTGCCTGATTGACGAAATATGGAATTAGTAAATAAGCAGCCCTCCTTCTTTTCTCCTCAGTGTAAATGCCTGTGGGATAGTTAAATTAGCTGTTAGTATCAATGTTGCCCCGAGGATTTACTCGTTCCCTCCCTACTTACAGGAACAAAATGCAAAGTAGAGCACTACAGCTAGAGCTTTGCTCAAGATAGTTGGTTTTTGTTAATTCCAGTTCTTGAAGATTTGGGGCAAGGAAATATGAAGGCCCAGGGTGTCAGGACTCCATAATAGCCTTTGTTAATTTGTGGCGGGAAAACATATTAAAAAATAATAATACCCTGAACCCTGCCGTGTTGAGGAATCTGTAACTGCATGCCTGATTTCCCTTCTGAACATGCATTTCCTAATTGAAGCTTTGAAAAAAAAATCTAATCAGTGAAACTGCCTAAGGAGAAAAAGGCTTTATAGGCCAAGGTTACTGAACAGCTTAGTAATCCACCCACTAGAAGTGCAAAGATTGGTGCAGCGTTGTGGCTCCTACTTACCAAAGAAAGCCAGTGAGTCCATCATTGTAGGCATCCAAGGCCAAAGAGCTACGAAGGTTCTTAGGACAATTTTAGGCAAGTGTTCAAATCTGGAGTCAAGTCTCCATTTAGATAGGTCTTTTGAGTGGGCCCTGTATCAAAGAACGCTGGATTCATGACTTCTTTTTTTAATGTGGTTGGATGTAAGTAAAAATATTTAAAACTGTCATTCAACTGAATACCTCTAAATCTATTTTACAAGTGTGCCTCGCAAACTGATTTACTCACAGTATATGTAAAGCATTGGCAGCAAAATGTCTGGAAACAAGCAATGGCCCCCTGGTACTTAGTAAGAACTGAACTCCCGATTCCCCAGATTTATGCTAAACACTCTCAAGTTGATGGCTCTTTGGGTGGCATTTGAGTTCAAGAGAATGTAAGAGACTTGAAACCAAGCCAGGATCAACAGGAGAGGAAGGGTCACTTCCTTACTGGTGCATATTGGTTGTAGATTAGGAATCACATTCTGTGAAATACGAACAAATGTTATTTGCATCAAGAACAACAAAAGGCTCCAGGTGAAAATGCTAGGATTGACTTTATTTGTTTGTGCAGCCTGTCCATAATCCACCAGGTACAGTCCACAGCCTCCTTCCCCAGATTTCACTCTCCACAATTGTAGGGAGATGGCTTGTTTAAAATTCAGTTGCTCTATTGAGCATTGTCACAAGTATCTTTGGTCCTTTAGTTACAGAACAGGCACAGCACATGATCACATCGCTCTTGATCAGAAAAAGCCTGACAAGGACATACAGGGACATCTCCATAACCCTTTAATATTAAAGCAACTTTCCTGGTATTTACAAATAGAACACATGTAGAAAGATCATAGAAACATTTAACCCCTTTTTACTTAACAAACGAAACGAAACTGAAGTAACAGCAGTCTCAGCTGTGGCTGAACTGTGCTTTGAGCAGCATTACTACTTGAGGTGGTTGCATGTAATGCTAAACCATGGGTATGAGAACAAACTGCAGTAAGCCTCTGGTGCAAAAAAGATGCAAGGCTGTGATCAGAAGCTTACACTTCTGGTTTAATGTGGGGTAGCCCACATGATAGC